AAAACCAAACAATGGGTTTCAGACAATAGCTGAAAGGAATTGAGAAAAATAGGAAAATAAATGAAGAAATTAGAAAAACATGTTTTGGAGAGAGAGTGTGAGCCAGGGAGGGTCAGAGGGAGCTGGAGGGAGAGGATCATAAACAGGCTCCATGCCCAGCACAGAGCTTGATGCCCGCGGAGTGTGATCTCATGACCCAGAAATCATGACCCGAGCCAAAAGCAAGAGTTGGGGACTCAACTGGCAGAGCCACCCAGGTGTCTTGACAGTTGTAAGCCTTCTAATCCCTGAATATAGTAGGTCTCTCCCATTTATTTGGGTCTTACTAAATTGACTTCAGAGGAGCATAAGGGAACTTTTTGGAGTGACAGGAATATTCTGTGTCATAGTTAGAGTGGGAGTAACATGGGAACATACAATTACCAAACCTCACCAAGGTGTACTTTAGATTCTGTAGTTGACTGTGTATGAGGGACTGCAGTGAAGTTTGTCTACAAAGTAATAACAAAAATTACGTCAGGTATTACATTTCTTTCACTGACATGATTCCTAATCATCAGAATCATTTGACTTGCATGTCATTGGAACAGTTGGTTTGATGCTGACGGTGCTGCATTCGTTCACGAACTGTCTTCATAACGTAATGCCGACCCAGTCCAGGGAGAGATGCTGGCCCCCGGGACATGGCAGGAAGGGGAAATGGGCCAGGCATGGTGATAGTCAGCAGAGCGTCTGTGTCAGAGATGATTACGTGTTTACTACTGTCTCTTTCCTCTTCTTCCCTGGACTCGAGGTCAGACTCCTGGGAAGGTTTACTGGTCAGTGTGTATGGTCGAGAGACTGAGTTCTGGTTTGTAGAAGGTGAGCAAAAGTGATATGTGCCCTTCCATACTTGGCCCATAACCGGCGATCACCTCACAGTACTCCACACCCTTTTCCTCTTCAGACTCTTGTTTAGAGACCAACTGCAGGGTAGGGTTGGGAGCCGTAACCTAAAGACGGACGAGCCACGGGTTGAAAGGAGCCATGTCTCCCAGGCAGTGCCCCGACTGGATCTGGAGAGAAGTTTTCTCTAATATCCTCCTTTCAGTCCCAGTTGTAGTTTGCTTCTTTGATTCTCTCAGCACTCAGTGTGCTCTGGGGAGAGTCTAGATTCTCACAGCTTGGTTGTGGGTAATAAGGAAAAGCTCTTTCCATACAGACACATGAGGCAGAGCAGATCAGGACAACAGAGCAGGCCAGGAGCAGAGAGACTCCACGGGGAAAGGAAGGCCTTGTGGAAGGGTGCAGCTGTGTTAGAGAGTCAGGCAGCGGAGGGAGTTGGGCCCTGGAGTCAGGAAGGGTCCTCGGGGCATGCCAGCACCCACTAGAGCCTGGCAGAGCTATTTAAGGAAATTGAGAAAAAGCTCTACCTACCACAGGCACAGAGGATTGGGCTGCGGATGATGGGTAAATCAGGGGTTAACATCTGTCATATTGATGAGGAAATTAAGTTTTATAGAGATTAAAATATTTGTCTTTATATCTAGCCTGGTGCTTAGTTCATAGTAGATGCACAGTAAATATTTGTTGAATGAACGAGTAATTTACTAGTCTGACACCTTGAAAGCTGAAGCCTTCTACCAGGGATTGAGAACTTGTCTGTTCGGTGGTGTGTAGAGGAGTATGGCACTGGTACCCAGGACGGACACCGCTGTGTTTGCATATGGTGTTTGAAAAAAGTTTGAATGTTAGTGTGCTCCCTGCTTGGCCCTAGGCCCTACCATTCCTGGTTGTCTTATAACTCATGCAGTCTGAGTTGTTGACGTCAGCATCTGTCTCCTGTGAGCTTGGTTGTGTGGAACCCCTCTTCCACTTCCCCGTCCACAGGTCACCTTCTAGATGACTCTAGAAGGGGCTCTTCCCTAACCTGTTGTTTTGCCTTCTCCCATCTCTTTCCTGCCACTGCCATCCCATCCTCTCTCTCCCCTTCTCTGTCCGCATATGACCTCTGGATTTTCTCATGTATTTAGCATTCTAAGCAGAACTTCTTAGGCCACGAAGCCTAATACGAGGAGCTGGGAAACCTAAGCCCAGGACGGAGTTGTACCAGGGGCGGCGTCTACAAGTTTGTGTTACATGTAAAGAGACGTAAATATTACTGTACTATGTGGTTAGTAGGCAAATGAGCAATGTCTGTAAATTATCCTTAACCAACCTCTACCAACATGTCATATTTTGTAGTTACTCTGCTTTTACTGTCTGCACTTAACTACCTGGGCATGGAGTCATTTTAGCGTATTTTCTTGTCTGCTGAACTAGGAGTTAGAAGGTGTTGTGTCTGTTCTGAACAAAATATTCACAGCAGCTGTACTCTCCATTTCGAAGTAGAAAAACCCCCTTTATTGATATTATCAAAATAGAATAGAAACAGCAGAAAACAGAAATGTGCACACAGATGGGAGCACTAGTAAGCAGTGAGGGAGGGTAAGACAGTTACATCGGATCGGGTCCTCGCACGTGCTGCCGCAGCGGCTGGGGAAGCCCGGTGGACACGGCCGGGCTGCGGTCCTGACTGAGGCCTGGGCGGAGCGTCCCCCCCTCGGCCGAGACTTCGACTCACTGTCCCCACAGGGGCCACATTCACAGGGTGAGTGACGGAGTCTGAAGTGAAACATTTGTTCGACGTGCAGTTTGCAGCGAGCTGCCTTTCCAGGTTCTCACGTTTCTGCGTCATCAAGGAGCCCGGGCTGTGTGTCTGCCCCACTCCTGGATGCCACCCTGCGGGGCCGGCCCCCCTGGAGCAGGAGGGGACGCGAGCCAAGATTTGTAGCTCTCGGTGTTCGGAGCAGAAGGGCCAGTTCTGATCTGGACACTGGTCACGTCCGCTGACCGGGCTCCCGAGCTCACTCGTGCCACCCGAGTCTCGCAGGTCGGGGTGGTCAGGTCTGGGGGGACAAGTCCCAGGACCCTCCGTCCAGATGGCGCAGCATGTGAGGGGCTCTGGGGACGCAGCCAGGGTTGTGTGCACGGTCACCATCCGGATGGCTTCAGCCTAGAGCAAGGGGAGTGGGGCCGGAGGGACACGGTGCCGCGGACGGATTGCCTGGTGCTGATGGGCCAAGTTCTCCAGAAACGTCTTCTGTAAAAGCAGCTTACGAACCTCTGTCCCCAGAGGTCACCAGACCCGCCTTCCCTGGAAGTCCTCGGAGCAGAGTTGGATGGAGCTTGACATCCCCAACCTGTCCCTTTCTGCTCCCTGTCCAGACTGTCGCCTTCTGACAACCCTTGCCACAGTGGGTGTGGGCTTGCTTCCTTCTCCTCTGGGGCCCCAGGTGCTGAGGGCCACACCCCTTGCCAGACACACACCCACAGAGCCTGTGGGGATGGGCGGGGTGGGCGGGAAACTCCCTCCCAGCCTCTTGCTTCTTGAGGTGGCTCAGGGCCCTGTGGCTGGGGTTTGTGGCCAGTCCTTCCCATTCCTAACGTTGGCTGGGACAGGCTCCTCCCACTCGTCCTTTCTGTCTGGCCACTAGACCAGATGTTACTTTGACCACAGGACCTTTGTCCTGTTTATGGAGAAACCCAAAGCCACGGGTAGGAGCTCCACCAGTGTGGAATCAGATTTATTTATCCGTACATCCTGCCGGAATATGGGAGACAGGGCGAGGAGAGTTGTGTCTGAACCACTGGGAGGCTTTGTTTGTTTTAGGAGCAGGAAGACAGAAACACCAGCTTAATAAGCTTTCTGGGTTCAGCTGAAACGTGAGCTGTCAGCCTCGCTGTTGCCTTTGTGAGTTATGTAATAATCCAAGCGGTATCTCACAGGCCTTCCACTCCGTGGAAACCTAAATGTGTCACATCTGCTAACAAGCAAAAATTACATTTATGACATTGGAGGCCATTATATTGTCTTTGGATAACAGTAAAATATAAGGGAGAAATGGATTTGCTTGGGAGTCTTTCATATTTAGCTTAGCACATCTAGCCAACAGAGACATTGGATTAATTACTAGTTCTATTAAAGTAAAAACAGGCATTTTGGAAAAAAGGGGGGTTCCGCTCTTTTGTTTTTTTATACTTATGTAAAATAATACCTTTATATAATAAATAAAACTTAAGCATGAGGGGAGCATTTATTTCTAATAACTATTTTAAAATTACACAATAATCTAAGTGATGATGCAAATGGCTTCATAAATTAGGAAATTCTGATAGAATCAACTCAGTAATACAATGAAAACTTCATGAGTGTCCATAACCATACATATTTTAAGAAACCAGTTCTAAAAGAGCCTGTATGAGGAATATTGTAAAATGAATTAGGGCAGCTAAAATAGTCTGTGTTTTCTCCTGACAAAACAGGTGAGTGACTCTGGCAGTTCCTGAGAACATTCTCTGAAACTAATGGCATGTCCGTAAGTGCTTAATAGTCAGCTCTTGAGAAGACAAACAAGGAACCCCCCCATCACACACACAGACAAAACCCCTTTAACCTGCAGCGCTCGCCCATTTCTCCAGTGCACCTGTTCCCGCGCAGTGGGTGTCGCACTAGCCGGGGCCGAGCGCGGCGGTGGTGGCAGAGCAACACACAGCAGCCCGTGACAGAGTCTCGCCGCTCCACGAGCCGGGAGCCGCCCGGTGGGTGAGGATAGTAGTGAGGTGAGTAGGAGGTATGGGGGAGCTGTTGACTTTTCTTCTTCCTCTTCTTCTTTTTTTTAAAGAGTATGTGAGTGGGAAGGAAAGGCAGAGGGAGAAGCAGGCTCCCCACCGAGCAGGGAGCCGGATGCGGAGCCCACCCCAGGACCCCAGGACCAGGACCTCAGCTGAAAGCAGACATTTCACTGACCGAGCCGCCCCCAGTCGGAGGCTTTGTCCTCCTCCTTCTGTGTAAACCACCTAGTCCTGTGACGTGGGGATGCTCTGAAACTCCAGTTGGCAGCCAAGAATTCCAGACCTGTGCGACACGAAGCCGACTGTCAAAGATCCGTGGCCAGGAAGTGCTGGAGTGGGTATCCGAGCCTCAGTCCTTGTGCACCCCCCGCCCCCACCCCAGAGTCCCAGCCAGTTCCTGTCGCCTGCATCCGGTCAGCTGGCTAGCAGGTGCTCCCTCAGGGCGTCGGGTTCTGGAAGTAGCTGTCCTCTGGTGGTCTTCCAACCCCAGCTCTGTCCTGGGGCAGGAGGGCCTGGTACTGAAGGCTCTTTCTAGGTCTGATGAGTTCCGGGGAGGATGGATGCTGTTTCATCCTTGGGGGATCCAGAGGGGCTGGACAGTGACGTAGGAGGTAAAGGGAGCTGCCTCACTGAGGACATTGGAGTAAAATCTGAAAGAAGGTGAGGGAATGAGCTCTTGTGCTTTCTGGGCAAACCATTCCGGGTAGACGGGATGATCCATGCAAAGGCCCCAAGGCAGGTGTGTGCTCCCGAGGCTCCTGGGAAGGGCAAGGCCCCGGGCTGCTCCTGGAGGCGCGGTCAGGGTGACAGTGTGAGGTGCTGGGGGCATGTCTGGGTGCAAAGACATCCGGCTGTACAGAGCAGTGTAGTTTGCTCTGCTGGGCGCAACCCATTAAGTATTTGTGAAATCAGTTTAAGGGGCTGCTGCCACCTTTTTATGAGAGAACAGAATGTAGAGAAAATAGCACAGAAAAAGTAAAGTCAGGGTAAGTATTATTTAATGAAATTCTTGTTTTGCTTTTGTGTCTTTGCTGTGACAAGTAGTTCTTACCGAGTAGAATTATGAAAATAGATGTTTGAAAGGCCTGGCCCTCAGACCTTGTAGGAACACTGGGTTTTCTACTGTGTGAGGAGGGAAGCTGATGGCAGGATTTGAGTCAGGGGACACGAGAAAACACCTGCCCTCTGTGTTGGGAGCAGACTGAAGAGGATGGTGGTAGAAATAGGAAGACCGGTTGGGAGGCTGTTGCCGCGGGTCCAGGGGAGAATTAAGGCGATGGAGTGACCGTCCGAGGACAGGGGAGGGCCTGCGGGTGCAGCATCTGGAGAAAGACTGAACGATGGGTTGGACATCTGTGTGGCAGTGTAAGTCAGCAGTTTCTAGAAGTGCGTATGTAGTATTAACCTTACCCAAAGAGAGGTCTGGCCTTTGCCCCTAGCTGCTGGGAGGTGATCTCGAGGCCCTTGGAGAGTGCCTTTGTTTACCTGGCGGCCTCGGCCACTGGACAGTCGACAGTGTAATTCATAATGGGAGCTTTGGGCCACACAGGATCTGCTCCTCCTCCGGGGGGCTGGGACGGCGGGTCAGCCATGGGACATCAGTGGTGGAGCTCCAGACCTGTGAGAAAGTACCTTTCGGTGTAAGCCACCCAGGCCGTGGGGTTTTGTTGGGGACACACAGTGTGATAGAAAAGTGGGCAAGAGATGCAAAGGAAAACCGTGCATCTGCCACGATGGGTAACATTGAAAAAGACCAACAATTTTAATTAAAAAACCCAAAACTAGGATATGAAACAGGGATTTTCATCTAAATTTGACTCAGTATTAGGTGTGGGAGGGTCATTTGGATGTTCATAACTACGGCTTTCATTTTCGTTTTTGATTGCAGAGCAGGGAGAAGTGGTACAACCACTTGGGGAGAGTTTAGGGTTTGACCCAGTGATTTCTGACTCTAGGAATGTAAACATCCTCGTGTCCGCACAGGCGCCGAACCACGTGCAGGAGCGCTCGTGGCACTGTCATCCCTGAGAAAGAAACAAATGTCAGTCAGCAGTGGAACGGACGCCTAAGCTGGGGTATAGTCACAAAATGGAAGCTGATAGGACACAAACGAGTCACACTTCTGCACAGCAACACAGATGAATCTGCCAAACCTGATTTTCTGCGTAAAGACACCAGGCACAAAAGACTGCTTGTAGTTTGATTTCCATTTAATGTAAGATCCCAAACCAGCTAAACTGAATGACTGTCGGACATCAGGAGGAGGGACATTTAGGGAGGACGGAGGGCGGTGAGTAGCAGTCGGCGGACGATCTGGGTTCCGACCGGCGTGCGCTGCGGGGCTGTTCACTCTGCTCGTTCAGTGAGCTTTACAGTGCTCTTTTGTCACGTTTTGTTACGATTTTCTCTTTGTAGGTTATGTTTCCTGATTCAAAAAGTTTAAAGAAGGTTGGGATCTTCTAAGGACTCTGTTTTCCATGAGAAGAGTTTTCAGCACCAGAGTGAACTTTAAAACCTCCAGTTTGCTTTTTAGGTAGGTTCAGGAGCTGCTTAACTGCTACTCACTGTTTTTGTCTCTCAGTATCAAAATACTGAATATTTGCTGCACAACCACGGAGCACGTAGCATATTAGCAGCTTTATAAATAAAAGGATAAAATCAACCCACAAGATTTTGGGGGGAGCTGCTGCCGCCATTGACTGAATCCTATTTCCAGTGGTGCCCTTTCTGTGTGGTACATGGGATAGTGCGGATCTGTGGGTCAATTCCCACGTCGCTCGGCTTTACCTTAGAGTAGCCAGGCAGCGCTGGGTTCTCTAGGGGCAGAGGGTCTACGCGCGCACACCTGGACGCTGTGCCCTCTCTGAAGAATTAGCAGATATGTGAGCGATCCTTTAAAAAACACCAAACCCTATGTGAGTGTGGAAGAGAGTGGCTGCTTACAAAAGCTCCTTCGTCTTCAGTGCATGGGAATGAGGATACCTTACCTGCCTCCTTATCTGTTTCCTCTGTAGTTAGGATTCCCCATGTGGAAAGTGACGGTGCCCTGTAAAGAGTTTGGAGGAAAGAATGATAAATTAGTTCAAAGAGAACACCCACCGATTCTAAGATCATAAAACTTAATCTAGTTTCTTTCACTCATTGACCTTGAATGTGGCCCGACATACACGCCAGGTGAAAGCACAGCGCTCTGAAGCTCTGGTGGGCCCTTCATAGCTGGTGGGGCTGCTGTGGCCTGAAGTCAGAGTGCCGCGCTCCCTGCGGCTCGCCAGGGGAGCTAACTCACCTCCGAAGCTTGTCTAGCTCTAAGCATTGCACAGTTCTTTGAAAAGCTGGAATGGTCATGATTGCCTTAAAATTGGAAATTAAGGACAGGAAGGGTGGGTGATCTTTGCCCTCTTTTGGGAAGGATCGTCAGTCCTCAGTTAACACAGTGTGGTGCCAGTGCTTGGACAGAGGGACTGACGCACAACAGGAAGTCCAGAAGTTGACAACACAGGAATTTTGTATGCCATAAAGACAGCACTTTTTTTTTTTTTTTTAATAGGTTCCACACCCAGTGCAGAGCCAAAGGTGGGGCCTGAACTCATGACCCTGAGATGACCTGATCTGAAATCAAGAGTTGGACGCTCCACCGACTGAGCCCCCCAGGGGCCCCACAGACAGCCTTTCTCATCACTGGGAGTAAAGACGGACTTCATTAGTGTGAGACGATGGGATAGTCGTTTGTAAAACACCATATATACTAGGATAAGCTCCAAATAGAACAAAGGTTGACATGTTAAAAAGAACAGAACAAAAACCCAGATGAAAATAGAGGTGAGGGGACGCCTGGGTGGCTCAGTTGGTTAAGCAGCTGCCTTCGGCTCAGGTCATGATCCCAGCGTCCTGGGATCGAGTCCCACATGGGGCTCCTTGCTCATCAGGGAGCCTGCTTCTCCCTCTGCCTCTGCCTGCCATTCTGTCTGCCTGTGCTTGCTCTCTCTCCCTCTCTCTCTCTGACAAATAAAATCTTTAAAAAAAAAAAAAAAAAGAAAATAGAGGTAAATTCCTTTGATTCTTAAAGTGGCAAAGACCCTTCTTAATATATTGCTCAAAATCCAAAAGCTGTGAAAGAAAATACTGACACATTCAATTACTGAAAGATAAGGCTGGGTAGCAACATTTATCAAAGTTAAAAGACAAAGGACTATCTGAGAAAACACCTCATACAAAGGGCTCAGCTCTCTGATACAGACATGGAGCTTCCAAAACCAAGGCAAACTATTGTTTTATACATTGTGTATCACGTACCTGTGGGAGGGGATGGCCACAGGTCCAGGACAGACTACTAAGTGAACAGTGGGAGAGAACTTGTATGCATTCTCCTGTGAGAGGACAAGGAAGAAAAGTATGTTGTGTTTCTGTTTGCATAGACACTGGAAAGGGAACTGAGTGGCCAAGGTCAGTGACATGGAAGTGGACTTCTCAGTGTGGATCTCTCCATGTAATTTTGATTTTTGTAGCAAACTATTTATTATAAAATGAAATAAAATGGATGGTGACCAATGAGAGTTGAAGTCCACTCACATTGCTGTCTTTAGGCATTTGTATTTAAGATTCCGTGATGATGATTTTCCTGTAAACTGCAGCTGGCAGTGTTCTGTTTACCCCGGATTCCCACTCCTGGAAACCCATTCTGAGACACCCTGGAAATGACCATGTAGTTTTTGTTAAATAAAATTTTAAGTCCAGCAGGCGACTGGTGAGCTCAACAATGGCGCACCCGCGATGGGATACTGGGGGAGCTACTGGGCCAGCACTGTACTCAGTCACCACATCGTAGGTAATACTTCTAGTTTAACCTAGTTCTGTTTTTTTTTCTTAAGATTATTTATTTATTTGACAGAGAGAGAGAACACAAGTAGGCAGAGAGGCAGGCAGAGAGTGAGGGGGAAGCAGGCTCCCCAATGAGCAGAGAGCCCGATGCGGGGCTCAATCCCAGGACCCTGAGATCATGACCTGAGCCAAAAGCAGAGGCTTAACCCACTGAGCCACCCAAGTGCCCAATCCAGTCCTGTTTTTGTCCACAGAGTAATTTTCCCCCTGAGATTTGCATGTACACATTGTCAAAGATCTGAACAATAAGTCGTAGTGTAAAGAATAGAACAGACTCACCCCCCCGCCCCCCAACGTTCCTCCTTTTCCTTTGGGCACATAGGACACACAACCTGCAGGCTCCAGATGCGAGATTTCCCCTCCGCTCTTTTTCCCGTTTGTGAGCAAATGTAGGACTTAGAGAGCCAGGGTCATGATTTGCCATCAGTATTTTAAAGGGCCCGCACTGGTCACCCATCAGTCCCGGAAATCCTGGAAATCCTGTGCTTTGTGCATCTCTTTTCTTTCCTTTCAAAAGTCCCCACAGGCAAGGACAATGCAATCAATTAGTAAATAATAGAATTTGTATGTCACCTCTTACCCACCTGTTTCTGGAAGACCTGGGACAAGGAGATGGATTTCAAGTCTCTCTACTGTCCTACTGTCTTACACAGATGTTAGATCTGATTCTGTGGTGAGAACATCAAAACAGCAGATTCTTGGGATTGTGAAAAAACCATAAAGGAGCATCTTAACCACTGGTTTTCAGACTTGTGACCCCAATAAGATACGCAGTCTTCATGACCCAGCGCAAACACACTTACGCCTAACGACGTAAGGGCCCCCAACATAAATCCCAGGAAGCCTTATCTACCTTTACAGGGTGGCACGCTCTCAGATGTTCTCATCTCTTCCTGACAGTCCGTGAAAATCACTGCTCTAATGCAACTTTTACATTAGCAAATGGAAGCACAAAGAATAGTCACTCAGTTTTATCAGTGATAAATGGTCAGGACTAGCTATCCTCTGCCCTTGATGTTTAATGCCTCAGGACAGTACTTTCCCCTTTATACTTTTCTCTACCAAGGTCATCCCCTTGATGACCTCACCCAGGTTCATGGCTTTACTTGCCATCCATATACCAACGATTCCCAAATTTATACTTCTAGCTTAATTCAATTCCGTCCTCCCCAAAACCATTCTCAAAGTTAGCAGTCACCTCCACACTACTGATCTACATAATTACTTAACTAGTCTCGGGCCTGTACTCAGTTCAGTCAGCAGTATTGGAATCCAGTTGCTAACACCCGTATCCAGTTGGTAATCTCAGGGACTCAGAATTTTGATGGGGGAGCAAAAGGCTGGCTAAGGACAAAGCAGAAGCTGGCACCCTACACCTTTACCCCCGCTTTGTGACATCTGTGACAGTCCTCAGGCCCTCCTAGCTGCCCTAAAGAACCAATAGCTAACTTGTAGAGATCACAATCCTGCAAGACCTGAGACTCCCTCCGCTTAAAAATGTCCTAGTGATTTACAAGGAAGAGGCTTTCTTACCAACAGCCTAACTTCCAGGGACCCAGAACTCAGTTCCTGAAGCCCTAACATTGCCCTCCCCTCCCTAAAATAGGAGGCAGAGGTGAAAGGAAATGTAAATCAAGCTGAATTTCTTCTAAACCTAAAGCTCACTGACAAGGACATGTGACAGCAGAAATGTGGCATTCCACCAGGAAGCTCCCAACTGGTACCTCATTAGAGAAAACAAAACAGCTTGGCTTGACAATAACCAGGCCTCCGATATCCTGAAAGTTTTTACCGTGTCAGCCCTTCTGAACACCCCCTTTGTCCTCACCTCCCCAACTCCCCAGTATATAATCACCACTCCTTGGGGTACAAGGCAGCAGCTTTTTTTTTTTTTTTTTAAAGATTTTATTTATTTATTTGACAGACAGAGATCACAAGTAGGCAGAGAGGCAGGCAGAGAGAGAGGAGGAAGCAGGTTCCCTGCCGAGCAGAGAGCCCAATGTGGGGCTCGATCCCCGGATCCTGGGATCATGACCTGAGCTGAAGGCAGAGGCCTTAACCCGCTGAGCCACCCAGGCGCCCCGGCAGCAGCTCTTTCTGCCCACGGGCCTGTCCCCACACTTTAATAAAATCACCTTTTTGCACAAGAGACGTCTTAAGAATTCTTTCGTGGTCGTCGGCTCCAGACTTCACTTATATTCTAAACTTCATCAATTTGACTTGCCCTCCTCCAGCTCTACCGCAGCACACCTGCTTCTCTCCTAGATGACCACCTTAGAAAAATGCACATCTTTTTCTAGTTCATTCTTTCAGTCACATTGAGTTTGAAGAAAATTATATATCAATATATTAAAATCTAAAAGCTATTGAAAAGTTTTCAAACAGCAAACTTTGAAGGTATTTAAAATAATGAAGATGCCAAAAATTAATATCCCAAAGGACAAACAATAGCTTAAAACCAAAAACTAAAGAGGAATTCCTGCTAAATTATTTACTTTGGAAATTCTTAGCAAATGCAGTACAAAAGGGAAATAAAATGCTTGGTATTCACATCAAGGAAGATACAAAAACCAATAAAAGTTATTTTGGTGATGACTAGGAAAAAACTCAAGGGGCTCTATTCTAAAAAGTAACAAGAAGTGGGATTATAGAAATTGGTAAATTCACTGATACAATATATCAATACATTTCCTCCTTACTAGCAATTAAGTCCTAAAAAAGGAAACGAGGGCCTTCCATTCACAGTAGAAACAAGCATATAAGTTAATAAACATGACTTATACGGAGAGATCAGTAGAAAAGAACAGAAGAAATCCCATTTGAGACTTTAATAACAGGACATACAGTGGGAGGAAGGGATGGATTATTTAATAAATCGTGTTAGAACAACAGGCCGCCTATCTGGGAGAATATAAACTCGGATTCTATAAAAGTGCATAAAGTTTTAGATGGGTTAGAGACTAAAATAATTTTAGGAAGCAATTTTGAGAGGAAAACCTAGGCTGTTGAATGAAGAATGGAGGGGTGGGGTTCAGTTTCTTAACCAAGAATGGAAATCTAGAAGCTTTGTAAGTTTCTAACATTTAATATTTTGAATTTTATATAGATATCTATATTTAAACGGAAATTTTACCATAAACAAAACAGTAAAAAAAAAATGCCAAAAATTAGAAAACTATCTGCAACAGAGGTGATAAGTAGTTCACTACTATATTAAAAAAAACCACAATGGGACAAGAAAGACAAACTGCCCAATGAAAAGAATTAGTAAAGGGATAAGCCTGCATTCTCTGAAAAGTGCATTCAAATGACCAATAAACCTAAAGAAAGGATATATACTTAGGACTGTGATAATGCCCATCAAAGTGACAATGTGAAATAATCTTCCACCATTTAGACTGGCAAAAATTGAGACCACACCTTGATGGCCAGAATGGGTGGGGGGAACTATTTTCAGGACAGGTCAGCACCAACTGAAATATAAAATGCACTCTGATCTAGCAATTTCAGTGCTGAATTCCATTGCACTGCACCACAGTCCGCAACGGTAAATGTTAACAGTGTCAGTGCTTACCAATAGGAAATGGACGAATAGCTTGTTACTCCATGCGAAGGACATTAAAAATAGAATTTGACTTGAAAGAATTTTCGAAAGGTTTCAAGAAGGAATGTGTATAAAGCTACCGTTTTGTAATTAGCTCTCACTAAAGACCAAATGAACCATCATGCATGTGTATGATAGGTGCTCCTAGATGACTGAGTTCAAAGAAAGCATTAAATAGCTACATGCCTGCGTGGAGCAGAGATGCGAAATGCCTGCACGGCAGACATCGGATAGTGGGAGCCCGGCAACAGGAGAAATATCACCTGAAAAATGGAACAAAGAGTATGCAGGGACGTGTGTAAAAAATAAGGCTTTACAACCAATTGAGCTGATTAGTAACCCTGCATCACCATATGTTTTCTCCTCGGAGGTGAAAGACGTGATTAAAATCTGCATGCTAGAATTAAATTTTAAAAGCCTAAAGAGACAATTCTGCGAAAGCGTCCTTTCCTACCTAACATGGTAGCGCCACCAGAATAGAAAACCCTGGGGGCGATAAAATACGCTCTTAGGTACAGAGTGGATTTGCAAATATCACCCAATCAGGGCAGTTTTGTTTACTATATCTACAGAAGCCGGGTAAGGGGCTTTGGGGCTTAGTCTCCCAAACTCCATTGCAGTCAAGCTTCGTTGTGACCAGCGCCAGATACTTGCCCGGCGGCGCACAACCCGACCCGCGCGAAGGCGCCGCGCCCGCAGAAGCCTGAGCTTCCAGAGCCGGGCCCGAGGCGCTGCCCGAGGCGTGCGGGGCCTACCTAGTGGGGCTCCTCGAGGACACCAACCTCTGCGCCATCCACGCCAAAGCTCGTCACCATCATGCCCAAGGACATCCAGCTGGCGCGCAGCATTTGCGGAGGGTGGCCAAGCATTCGGTTTCACTGGTTACCCCACAAGCACTTCTCAGAGGAGACCAAGTCCATAAAAGGCCGCTTTAAACACTATTGTCCCAAATACCGCAGGGCCCGGCTTTTAACTCAACTAGGGCAATCGCCAGGTGCGCACGCTTCCAGCTGGGGCCGGGGCGGGGCTTCTGCCACGACCGTAGTCCGCGTGGAGGAAAAGGTGTGGACTTACAGCACAGCCGGGGACGATTAGCTCCCCACGCATCGCCGACGTCGTTAGCTAGGCAAGACAGCACAGCAGGCCGCTGGTTGCCAAACGGCTAGGAAGGTTTCGCCTAGGAAGGTTAGGCACATCAGCGAAAATATATTAAGTCTCTAAGAAATTGCGGTGTGGGGTAAGGATCAGCCCAAAACCGTCCTCGCAACTGGGTGGCAACTCCACGTGGGAGCCGAAATACACGTACTAAAGCTCTTTCCTCTGAAATAGGTTGGTGGCTCTTAAAAGAGCCGTTGGGTTACTGGAACAAGTTCCAACTGCAACTCTACTTTTTCTTGGGTGCGGCCTTTTTGGGCTTCGCAGCCGTCTTTGGCTTGGTCACCTTCGCCTTGGCCGCTTTGGGCTTCACAGCCTTGGCTTTGGCGGGGCTCTTGGCTACTTTCTTGGGCTTCACAACCTTGGGCTTCTTGGGACTCTTGGACGGCTTCTTGGCCACAGCCGGTTTTTTAGCCTTTTTCGGAGTCTTGACCGCTTTTTTAGTAGCCGCTGTGACCTTTTTAGGTTTCTTAGAAGCGCCCGTCACCTTGGCTTTCGCCACCTTTGGGGGGTTGGCCTTGGCCTCGCCGGAGGCCGCCTTCTTGTTGAGCTTGAAGGAGCCCGAGGCACCGGTGCCCTTGGTCTGCACCAGGGTGCCCTTGCTCACCAGGCTCTTGAGGCCCAGCTTGATGCGGCTGTTGTTCTTCTCCACGTCGTAGCCGGCGGCCGCCAGCGCCTTCTTGAGCGCCGCCAGGGACACGCCGTTGCGCTCCTTGGAAGAGGACACCGCCTGCACGAGCAGCTCCGACACCGAGGGGCCCACGGACTTCTTCTTGGCGGTGGTCGCAGCCTTAGCCGGCTTCTTGGTTTTCTTGCCGACCGCTGCGGGCTTCTCGGGGGGAGTGGAGGTAGCCGGAGCGGGCGGCGCGGTCTCGGACATGGTGAGATCGGAGCACACCAAACAAGCGACCAAGCCCTGACTGAGCAGGAAGACGCCGGAGGCCCCGGCGCGGCGTATTTATAGGGCGGGGCCGTGCTGTGATTGGTGCTCGCCCGCGCCCGCCTCTCGCCCCCTAGCGCCCCCGGCTCCGCCGCCCTCCGCGCTGCCCCGCGGGGACCTTGCGGCGGCTCCCCTGTCGCCTCCAGCAGACCGCACTTCTGGGCGAGCAGGGGTCGGGCTCCGCAGCCCCGTAACGTCGGAGGCTGCCACCGCCCTTTGCAAAACAAGCCTTTTCTTCCGGGGCGGAGGAAGAGCGGTTCGTCTTCGAGGCACCCAGATAAGAGTCCCGGGCGGTGTCAGGAGGGACGTGCGTTCCCAGCCTGTGGTGAACGTGAAATGGCCGGGGAGGGGGAGAGGCCGGGGGCCAGCCCTCGTCAGCGCCGTTGCCGTTCCCGGCGACGCCGAAGAGGGACACGCCTGGTCAGGACCTTTTCTGCGTTTTGGTTTCACGAGCGCACAATTAGACCCTCCTGCAAGTGCATAACCAGCTGTTGCCACCGTCCCGTGCGCCTGACCCGCCCCCGAGGCCTTCCCGGCCTTCCCACGTGCCCCGGCGGGGCGGACGGGCTACCCTGGGCGCTGTGGCGCGCTCTTCCCCTGCAGGGCAGCTCCCAACCCCGCCCACGAGGGGCGTTCGGGAGGCGCCGGCCGGACTCAACGCTCCCCTCCCTTGCGCCTCAGGGCGACAGCGAGAGGGCACGGCTCCCGTGACTTCTGCGGGAAACCCTCCTGTAACTTCTTTGTGGCTGTACGGGGCCTTTAGAAGCGTCAACAGGGCTCCAGTGATTCCCCAGTGCGAATCAAAGGAGAGAATAAAATGCTTTTTCCAGGGCCGCGCCCGGGAGCCCACACGCCCCTCCACAGGCTCGGGGACGTCGCCTGGGGGCCGAGAGAAGGCAGTGACGTCTCCTTCCCGCGCTGCGCTCCTGAAGTTCTCAAACAAGTCCGCGCGGCCTAAGTTACCCGAGCTTCCCGGTTTCCCCCCAATATCCGATGGCCCGAGTACTAGCTGGCGGCCTATACTGGGATGTTCCCACCAGCATCTTCACAACCACTCCCAGCTACTTCCCATTTTCCCGAGTCTGTGTTTTCAAACGCAACCTGTAATTTCTACCAATTTGTAAATAGAACAATCGGAACTGGGCGTTTGAAGGACACTCCATTACAACAGGTGTACGGCCTTCTTCCAAGATAAGCTTTCATAAGTGAACATCTGGAAATCAAACTTTTCTTAGTGTAATAAACGAGGACTCTAATTAAACGCAGCTTTTTAAAAGGAAACACTTGTTTCGGGGATTTCTTACCGTTCCAGCCTCCTGCGTATCCATTGGATTAAATAGGCTTCAAATAAAATATGAACGTTCCATCCAGATGAAGGATGCTAGATTTCTTACTGGCTGTTCAGTATAAAAGTACTCAACCAATGAAAAGGTAGAATCTGGCCTACCTACTCTTAGTACAAAACGGTCACATTTGGTGTTTTAAAACTCGAAAAATTTTAAGAACTATAAGGTTAGGTCTTGGCAATGAGAAGTTGGCCCTTCTTGTGTCTAGGAATCCTGTTGATTGCGCTGAGTACACGCCTGCTCCACAAAGTTCAGAGAGGTTGGTGCTGGAGAATTTAGTCACTGATCTTTTACATCTGGCAGAATATACTCTAGACCTGAGAAAATATAAGATTCAGAAAGCTCCAAGTTTAGAAGTCAACATTAATATTTAACAGAGGTGCCCCATTACTGGGAATATTTCTGTAAACTCCAGTGTAATTTTATTATGGTTGAGGTAGGATTCAAAGGAGTTCCTTCATGTAAGTATTATAAAGGGATCTCATTTTTGAAAAAGGTTTCAGAAACTTGTAATATGATAGGGGATTGTTGGGGTTATTGAATAGGGAGAATAAAGAGTACATTATCGGGGGCAATATTTCTCAAATTTCTCCCCCCAAACTACAGAAATATAGAGTTTTGAACTACAGTATCAACGAAGTAAATGTTTAGTTTTTTGAAAAGCACTGTATCCAGACTACGAAAATCAGATGTGAGAGGAACAAAAACCTGAAGAGACGGGATAACGTGGTAGCCAATGAAATTGCGCCGATGTTGGAAAGCTAAAAGATAGACCAATCAGCCTGTAACCTTATACGTCAGCATTTTCCTCATCCAATCACTACACTTTGCGTACTATAAATATTGGCAGGCATTCTGGCGCAGTGTATTCGTGAGAGTTTGGCGTGTTTCTGTGGTTATTATCATGGCTCGCACGAAGCAGACGGCGCGCAAGTCGACCGGCGGCAAGGCCCCGCGCAAGCAGCTGGCCACCAAGGCGGCCCGCAAGAGCGCGCCGGCCACGGGCGGCGTGAAGAAGCCGCACCGCTACCGGCCCGGCACGGTGGCCCTGCGCGAGATCCGGCGCTACCAGAAGTCCACCGAGCTGCTGATCCGCAAGCTGCCGTTCCAGCGGCTGGTGCGCGAGATCGCGCAGGACTTCAAGACCGACCTGCGCTTCCAGAGCTCGGCCGTCATGGCGCTGCAGGAGGCGTGCGAGGCCTACCTGGTGGGGCTCTTCGAGGACACCAACCTCTGCGCCATCCACGCCAAGCGCGTCACCATCATGCCCAAGGACATCCAGCTGGCGCGCCGCATCCGCGGCGAGAGGGCATAAGACGCTACTGGGTTGTTTTTTTAAAACTTCAGCCAAAGGCTCTTTTCAGAGCCACCCACGTTTTCAAGTAAAGTGGCTGTAAACTACCCACGAAACCGTTGACTGAGTAGCTATGCACTTAGAAAAGAAAGGATATCGGTTGGCAACACTAGAGTGGGCTACAGATCCTTATTTCTGTGTAAACACGCCCTGTGTATGCGAACAAAAAAAGCCCTTTACAAGGTTAGAAGATACTGTTCACCGAGGTCCTAAGGAAGCGTCAGCGTTTCAAGAGGAGCATGAAACAGTTGGCTATTTGAAGGGCATTAAATGGGGCCTCCTGAGCATTTCTAAAACGAACAGGAATAGAAGAGTTTCATCACAGGTATTAAAAGTGAAACATGAAAGAAATCTGGTTTATCACTAAGCTACTCAATTTATATTTCTTTGACCTTGATATTTTTGCCATTACTGAAATTACTGCAAAACAAGCATTTTTATATAAGTATTCTATTAGACTATTTTTGGAATCATACATGAGTTTACCATAAACCCAGTTCGTTAGAACAAGGTAGTCCAGTTATGGGAGTAAAGACCAATGGTCAAGCTGCGTTCTGCACCCGCCCTCTCGGAGTTTCTGGGGCTTGGAGGCGGGACTAAGGGAGGGGACTGCTGGCGTCACATTTCCCGCCTGCGCTCTTTCCATTCTCTACATCTGCAGGGGGTGGGGTTGGGAGGGGGGACGTCGTTATATAAGGACCAGCTCTCGTTTGCTTTGTCACTTGCTGTGGGTTTGCTTTTCTGAAAGCCATGTCTGGTCGCGGCAAGGGCGGCAAGGGCCTGGGCAAGGGGGGCGCCAAGCGCCACCGCAAGGTGCTGCGCGACAACATCCAGGGCATCACCAAGCCCGCCATCCGGCGGCTGGCCCGGCGCGGCGGCGTCAAGCGCATCTCCGGCCTCATCTACGAGGAGACCCGCGGGGTGCTCAAGGTGTTCCTGGAGAACGTGATCCGCGACGCCGTCACCTACACGGAGCACGCCAAGCGCAAGACGGTCACGGCCATGGACGTGGTCTACGCGCTCAAGCGCCAGGGCCGCACCCTCTACGGCTTCGGGGGCTAAGCTCTGATTCCACTACCAGGAAATTGCATTTCGCCATCAAAGGCCCTTTTCAGGGCCACCCAAACGTTCAGAAAAAGAGCTGACCTGATACACTCCACTGGCTAAAATTAACAGTTGAGATTTAATGACCGAATTCTGTAGGATTGCAGGATTTTTAAAAATAAAACTCCGTGCAATATCCCGATTACACCAAAGGGACTCCCTTAGCTGAGCCGTACTTATCTGCTCCTCTGTCCTCGACACTGCCCGCATTACAAGTAAGGAAGGGATGATACTCCCAACTCAAGAGTGGGGGGAACCAAGTAGAGCAAGGAACTTGCAAGGATTTCTAGGAACAAAGAGGAACATTGTCCAATCAGCAAGTCCCATCCGTGTTCGTCAACCAATCAGAACTGATGATCTCATGCGCCACCTCACCGCCCCCCCCCAACTCCCAGGCTAGCCAGACTGGGGGATGGGAAGGTTGGCCAGAAACCCCAAAGCCCTGGGTAAGGAATTTGTGAGGTTTATCATTTTGTGCATTATGAAGTAGATTCAGACCTGCAAGGGTCCTTCAATCGGGTCTCGAGAACAGTAGAGGTTTCACCACTAACAAACTCCAAAAAACAGTCTTTGGAAACGGGCAGGGGAGAAACCAGATTCAGGCTGCCAGAAAACCGGGGGCACTGGATTCAGGGGAAAGTAACATCTGGTTTATGGGGGAAAGTGCCTCTTTCACTGTCAGCAGAGCCCGTCTGAGTTCGCCATACTTTTCCTCCCTTCACAGAGAAATGGAAATTAGGGCGGCTAATTTGGAATGAATTTTATGGTGCATAAACTATATTTCAATAAAACTGAGCGAGTGCGACAGAGCCTGCGAGCTGACTGCAAGCTCAGTATGTCAGCTTCAGCCGGTGTCTCTCCTAGCTTTTGGGGGCCCCCTTTCCACCTGATAACTGTCCTCCAAGATTTCTTGGGGAATGATAAAAGTACGTAGTCTGGTCTAATTTAAACTGACAATGAGGAGAATTCACAGCTGCATCCTGGATAGCCAGAGGAGCAAAATGGGCCTGGTTGGGAGAGCGGTCATTTTATGTTCTCCCTAGCTGGTGTTCCTTCAGGAGATATTTATTGACCTCATGTAATGTGCCAGATACTCTTATAGGCAGTGGGGTACCTCTGTAAGCAAATCAAACAGAATTCCCCGTTGTGGATCCAGAGTATATGTAGAGAGGTGTGTGGATACAGATTTTCTATGGGAGAGGGGAGAGCTACTTGTACTTGCTACAATAGACAGGACTAGCTTCTGTGATGGCAGGCCTGGAATCTTTATTAACAGCCTTGTAGATAGTACCATGCCCATTTTAGTCATGCTCACTGCCCTGGGGGAAAGCCTCTGAGCCCTCTTCAGCCTTAACACTCATGAAGGCCTTTTCAGAACAAAGGTAACGCGGCCTATCTGCCACTTAGCATCATTCCTCAGATCTAGAGGAAAAACTGCCATACGGATTGATTCGGGCAGAGGTAAATCAAGGAACAGTACATAGAGAATCAATTGTGGCAACACTCTGGTGGGCCTAGGGTCTTACGTAGAAAATTCATGCACGCATTCTTTCAGCTGATGAGGTTCAGGACATGCGATCCCCTAATAAGCCACCTTGGCATATTAAATATGTTAAACTCAAGGAGATTAAGCTTCAGAAGCAGGAAATTCACCCAGACATTCCCTCTGCCCCACATCAACCCCCACTTCTTTCTTTTTCCAAGAAACCAAAGATAAATCTTTTATCTGAAAGGTACCCTCCTGTATCAGGAGGAAGAAAAACATCCTTATCACCAGAGATGAGGAACTCAGGGCTGAGAAGTCTCTAAGAACAAACCTTGTTACTTCTTTACCATTTACTACTTCTAGTCCAAAGCGCTTTGTCTTTTCACTTCTTCAGAAAGGTATTCTTTGTCTAACAGATATAAAAGAGCTTCCTGCTCTGTTCATTTCCTTGAACCTCATATCTCTGTGGGGGCTCCTGTACATATGCACATAATTTAATTTGGTTTTCTCCTGTTACCCTTTTTATTACAGGGAGACCTCAGTTAAGAATTTAGAAGGGTAGAAGGAAAAATACTTTTCCTCTCCCCACACAACAGGCCTTCAGAGACTACCTATTACCCTGCTCTCAAAGAATTATATTCCAGTTGTGGGAGACAGAACAATTAAACATATACTGATACATGTGGGGATGCATATACTATTTTAAAGAATGAGCAGAAAGGGGTATTACTTTACATAGGGTGGTCTGGAAAGTTCTCTTTCATAAGAGGGTGTTTGAGCAGAGACCTGAATGAAATGAAGTCTGCAGCCATCCAGGGACCGGTAGCAGAATATACCACACAAAAACTGACTCGGCCCTAAAGATCAAAGGCACTTGAAAAACAACAGGTGCCAGAAGGCACACTGACCTCTCCTTTTTCTTCCTGAAAGCAGGAGAGAAATTCCCCATATGGAAGATGTCACCCTTATATGACAAGGAAAGTAACATTTTTCTCACCTTGGGTGAGAGGTTGAGGCCAGGAGAAATCTGTACAAACAAACCTTGTAGACTAACCCTTATCTTCCTAGTTACTTTCCCACAACTCACTATCCTAGCCCCAGCCTCCTCGCCTTGTTGTGTTTTCAGTTTCCTACGCTTTGTCCAGCTCAGTACAGAAGTGTTCAACTCTAACTGCTTCTTTGGGTCTTCATTTCCTTAGGAGTGCACCTTTGTCATGGAAAGCATATTGGCATACAATAATGTCTCTCTCTACATATAAATAAATATATATGTATTTATATAAATGTAAACGAATCGTATGCTTTTCTGTTAGTTTGTTTTATGTCATTTTAATTCTTAGGGCAGAAGTAAAATCCTCCCCATGTACCAAAATAAGATACTTCTAGGAAGACAGAGAAATACATACCAGGGCTCTGAGACTGCAACATGCTTGGTCTGTTCTGCAAACAGCAAAAAGGTCAGTGAAGACAAAGAAATGTGACAGCAAGTGAGATCAGAGGGTGGCCAGGGCCCAGAGCATGTAAAGCCATCTAGGCAGGGTGACAAACTCACCCTGTCTGCCTGGGACTTTCTCCAAGTTGTAGCATTGAACGTCCCACATCCCCAGCAACCCCTCAAACTCAGACAAACTGGAATTATTGGCTACCCTCCTTATAGGCTGGGATGAAGAGGGAAAATCACTGGAATGTTCTGAGGGTGAAACAATTTTTGAAATGATCACCCTTGTTGCTGGGTTGAGAAAAAAAACTAGCCATCAAAAGTGGAAATAGAAAGACTAGTTAGGAGTCATTATGGTCATCTGGACAATAGGTAAGTGTGGCTTGCCCTGAAGTAGCAGCACAGGATGTAGTGAAAGGTGCTTTCATTGATTTGTAACAGAGATGACTGGGTTGGATGAAAATTGTAAGACAAAGAGCTCCAACAGGACTGCAAGATTCCTGAGCTGAGCCCCTGCAAGAATGGAGTTCCATTTATTGAGGTGGGGAACACTGGAGAAAGAACAGATTTGCTGTTTATGTGTTAAGATATCCAATTTGGACAAATCAAGTTTGAGATGTCCATTAGACACTCAAGTAGATATATCAAATATGCAACTGGATATGTGGCAAGCTTCATTATGAAACTTGAAGTGGGTGAAAGGAAACAGAAAAGTTTAGAGGTGATTAAAGTCTAAAACAGCCGTTGTTTCTAAAAACAGCCATTGGGACTGAGAAACATACAGAGGCTGACACAATCATAGGCCTTGTCAGTAGAGCCTGACCTGGCACTTAGGGCTAGGTCATGGAGTTTTCCTGTTGAGCGGAAACCATTACACAGAACACAGAACATATCAATAGTGAGACCAAGATCAGAGAAGGGGCCCAAGAAGTGAGCCATAGGTACTTGAACACGTACTGGAATAGACTTTCCCTTTTCTTTAGTAGGGCTGTATAGTATTTCATTTGTTATGGGCTGTTTGTATTCCTCACCTATTCACATGTTGACATTTTAATCCCCTATATGATGGTGTTAGGAGTTCTGGCCCTTCAGTAGTGATTAGGCCCCGAGAATGGAGCATTCATGAATGTAATTAGTGCCTTTCATAAATAAAAGAGTTCAGAAAGCTCTCTGGCCCTCCCTCTGCCATATGAGGACACAGCAAAACAAGTCTACGAACCAGGAACTGGGGGCTCACCAGACACCAAATCTTGTCTGAAACTGCCAGTGCCTTAATCTTGGACTCCCAGACTTGAGAAATCAGTTTGTTGTTTAAGCCAGTCTATGGCATTTTCCTTATAGCAGCCTGAACTAAGACAGGGTTTCTGGTGACAATTTACATTTCTACTCATTTACTATTACACTGTTATTGCAATAAATGGTGTTTGAATTCTTACTGATGGGATACAGACTCATTTATAGGCTGTTGATTCCCAAGTTTTCTTCTAAACCAGACCTCTCACTTGAACTCGAGAATCTGTTCCAACTGCCTATTCGGTATTTTGTGTCGGAGAGACATATTAGAGTAACTTGCTTTAAGCAGTCGTCAATATATTTCTCAAGAATTAAATCAAAGATGCTATTCACGTGCCTGATTTATCAATGAGGGCATACTAAAAAACACTTTATTTTTTAAGTTTAGGGTTTTGAATGAGGCTTTCAAGAATGCTCAAAAAGTGTTTTGAGGGGCACCGGGGTGGCTCAGTCGGTTAAGTGTTTGCTTGCGGCTCACGTGAACCCTAAAACCTTACCATGTACAGGAGGCGGAAGAGGAGCTGGGCGGAGGGACGAAGGCGGAAGGTGCAAGACAGTCGCCTGAGAGCCGGTGACCTCAAAGGACGGAGCTCCTCCGTCAAGCCCTCAAAGTGGGGCCCTGCCGGAGACCCTAGGGGGTCCGAGTAGCAGAGACCTGAATCCGAACAGACCCCCTTCGTCCACTAAATGGCACTTTCCAGACCCCGCTTAGGCAGGGGCGGGGGGAGGGCCTGGGGCTCGAGAATGGCGAGCCCCTAGAAACCTGCGACCCCCCGGCTGCGGCCTCACAGGTTCCAGATCCGGGGCACCGGCGGCGGCCCGCAGGGACCTGACGACAGGGGACGCTCCGCTCTCCTCACACCGACCAGGGAGGCGACACGCTAGGAGCGAACGTTCGGCGTCTCTTCGGTCGCGCATTTTAACCCACCTGGCTGCCTCTGAGGCGGAGGCGGCCTCTCCCAAAAAGACAGGTATTTGCCAAAACTTCCCAGCGAGCGAGCTGGGCGGCCGCTTAATCCCTGCCGCCACCCGAATCCCTCCGGACATAAGGCATGGGTCGTCGTTTCACTCCTTCACACCGGCAACAGGCCGCAAACCCGCGGGAAGAGCGGAGGTCCGGCCCCGCATCTCTCCCGGGAGGCCCCGGGCCCGCGTCGCCTCTCCATTGGCCTCCCTCAGGCAACCCCTGGTCCTAATTGGCACGAACCCCGCGCCGCGCGGCCAGCTCATTGGTCGAGCTAGCATCCGGCGGCCAATGCTCCGCCCAGGCTCCTTTACACCAGAATCCAGCACCCCAAGCACTGTGAAAACGCAGTAACTGAAAAACTAAAGACAAAACAAAACAAAAAAAAAAAAAGCGGACAGCCCTTCTAGAGATAAAGTGGGCGGCCCTGAAAAGGGCCTTTAGAGAGCTTTGGGGAGTAAATGAAACCGGGGAAAATTTAACCACCGAAGCCATAGAGAGTGCGGCCCTGGCGCTTGAGCGCGTAGACCACGTCCATGGCCGTGACCGTCTTGCGCTTGGCGTGCTCCGTGTAGGTGACGGCGTCGCGGATCACGTTCTCCAGGAACACCTTGAGCACCCCGCGGGTCTCCTCGTAGATGAGGCCGGAGATGCGCTTGACACCGCCGCGCCGGGCCAGCCGGCGGATGGCGGGCTTGGTGATGCCCTGGATGTTGTCGCGCAGCACCTTGCGGTGGCGCTTGGCGCCCCCCTTGCCCAGGCCCTTCCCGCCCTTACCACGGCCAGACATGATCTAAACACTCTGTACGACTTGCACACAGCGATGGCCCTTTTCGTTCGTCAGCGCTAATTATAAGCAGAAGTCGGACCTCGTTGAAGACTGACACCGCGGGCGGGCCCCTAGGCCCCGCCCCCACCCCGGCTCCCCGGCTCCTCCCATCTCTGGGCGGAGCTCCTAGGACTGTGTGCTGGAGGGAGCAAGGTCGCGTGGAAGGGCTGGCTTCTCCTGAGCCGGTTCGTACTGGTGTCTGCAGGAATCTCCCCCATGAGAACGTTACTAGGGGCTTCTAGTTTACAACAAAGTACTGTCCTCTCTCATTCAGAAGGGGAATGATTGTTGGCTGGGAAGGGAACCCTAAGATGTCACCCCAAAACAGGAGTGTTGGAGTTCAGGACATACTGTCTCAAAATAGGCCTCTTTGGTATGGAGGGTAGCAGAAGACGCTCCCCCACCCCCCAACCAAATGCGCCACTTTGGCATAAGGATTATATGCAAGCAGATTATTTTTAAGAAACACCGACACGGTAGAATCTCTAAAATCTTCCTAACGGGGCATTTTAACATTTATGAAGATCTCAACCTCTAAGAGTCTCCCTCTCTGCACCAGGAAGAGAAGGATGACTAAATCACCAGACATTCCTGTCCTTGGGAAAGCCCCAGCTTAATTTGGCATCACAACCTTGTTTCCCATCCTTTTCCCGCCAACCCCAGACTGGCTCCCTGGGCACTCCCTTCCCACACCAACATCTGTTAGCGGAAGGTGTTCTTTCCAGGGGTGGCTGGGGCCTCTTCGGGGAGTTCCACTCAGTTCTTCAGAGCATCTCCCATGTACACACGAGGGGTCCATGTCATTAAACTTCTTTTTGTTTTTCTCGTTGATCTTTTTTTTATAGGGACTCAACTAAGCATTCAGAAGAGTAGAGGAAGTTATTTTCCCTCTTTTACAGATGTGTAACCTTGTAATTTTGCCTTCGTTTTCTTCATCTGTAAAGGTGGAGTGATGATGATACTACTCATGGAGCTTTTGTGAAGATTTAAGTTAGCTAATGTAAGCAAAGGGCTAGAACAGAGATTGGCGCAAAGAAGTCCTACGTAAATGTGCCCAATTTTTAGCTGGTATTATTACTTAAAGAATCTGTCTGGAGTTGGGAGATTGCCCTGAGCTCTCATTTTTAAGCTTTTACTCCTAACACAATATAGACAACACAGACACATATATAATAGTGAAGATTTTTTTGTTTTTTTAAATCACAACATTCAATAAAGTATAAAGCATTGATGAATTGCGTTTTTTGGTTTTGTCTTCTATTAAAGTATAGCTGACATACAATATCACCCTGGTTTTAGGCGTACAGCATAGCGAGCTGACGGTTCTATACATTAGGAAATGCCCATCACCATGTGTTACCATCTGTTACCACACAAAGCCATTATAATATGATCGTATTCCCTCTGCTGTACATTGCATGCCTGTGACTTATTTGTTGTATAACTGCAAGTTTGTACCTCTTAATCACCTTCACCTATTTTGCTTCTTACCCTGCACCCCCACAACTACTCATTTGTTATCTATATCTCTGTTTTGTTTTTTTGATTGCACATATAAGTGAAATCATATGGTATTTGACTTTATCAGATTTATCTGGCATATACCCTCGAAGCCCATCCATATGAATAATAAGATTTCATCCTTTTTCATGCTAATATTCCACTGTATATACAGTTGACCCTTGAAAAACGCAGGGGTTGGGATACTGACCTGTACACAGTTGAAAATCCACATATAACTTTTGACTCCCCCACCCACAAAACTACCAATACCATACTGTTGATTAGAAGCCTTACTGATAACATAAAGTCTATTAAAACATATTCTGCATATGTACTATATGTTGTATTATTATAAACCAGAGAAAAGAAAATACTATCAAGAAAATCACAGGGAAGAGAAAAACATTTACAGTAGTGTATTATATTTGTTGAAAAAAGAATCTGCAAGTAAGTGGGCTCACCCAGTTCAAACCTGTGTTGTTTAAGAGTCAACTCTATATACCACATCTTCTTTATCCACTCATCTATTGATTGACAGACTGTTTTGTTTTTCATACATAGCATGTTAATTAAGGTTGTCTAAATATATTCCTTTGTGCCCTTTCCAAGCATATATTGACAACGTCTGCTTTCTGTTTCTGTTTAAGGTTGTCTAAATATTCAGTTAAGAGATTTGAACATTCCAGACATGCAGTTCAAATCTCTTAACTGATTTCCCACTGTTGTGTTAAGTCTCCCTAAAACACTCATTGATTAGTAAGTCACTTCTTCTGGGATGACTGGAAGGGCTACTACTAAATTTTTTATTCTGAAAAATGCACCCTGACTTTGGCTTCCTCCTCTTTTCTGAAAGACTATAACAAGCCAAAAGTGGTTCTAGACATCAACAACATTACCTGCAAACTTTAGCCTGTGTGGTCATATCACGCCTTGGTGCCTGGGTGACTGAGGACCTTCCAACAGCCATTTGAAAGATACAATCTGTGTGTTAAACACCCCCTTTTTCCCCTCCAGCATGACCATAGTCACTCTGCTAATCCAAAGTAATAAATGCTTAAAGCACTGATGTTAAAAGACTGGCACTACATTTGGTCCAATATGTTCAGTAAATTTTTTACAAATGTGAATTTCTTCCATTCTTTGTTTTTCAAATACCTGCTGAAGTTTTCTTTCCAAACAGCAACAAAGTAATGCCAAGTGAAAGGGAAGTTTAGAAGCTAAAGTTTGCATTTTTATTTCAATTAAAAAAAAAAAAAAAAATCAGCGGTGCCAGAGTGTCTCAGTGGGTTAAGTCTCTGCCTTCAGCTCAGGTCATGATCTCAGGGTCCTGGGATCAAGCCCCACATTAGGCAATCTGCCTGTTTCCCCCTCTCTCTCTGCCTGCCTCTCTGCCTATGTGTGATCTCTCTCTCTGTGTCAAATTAAAAAAATAATAAAGTCTTTTAAAAAAAATCTGAGAATAAAAGGGAAAATAATACATAGCTCAGAAAAATTAATGGCATTTATACAGTGCACTGTGTTCAAAAATCAACTCCTATTATCCCAATAACATTTCTGAGGTGGGTAGTACTAGCCCCATTTTTCTGATAATGGAGAAATCAATTTGTGAAAAGGACATATTAAATAGTAAACTGGAATTTGAATGCTGGCAATCTATCACCCAAATGCTGCTCTGGGCCGCCAGCTTCCAAAGGACTCTTGGACAGAGTAACAAGGTTGGATTCTAAGATGGTGCTAACCTTACTTTCCTAGACACTGGGCAATTACTCTATTGAGGAGCTCATGTAAATGAAGACACAGCCAAAATCCTTGATCCTTGGCCAGGAAAGGGGTGACAGGTGGTGGGAAGCACGGTCTGAGCCACTGTCCCCTGGCCATCTAACCATCCGACAGTAATGGGTACTTTCACTTTTTAAAAGCGATCCTCTCAAGCCCTATACCTAAAACACCCTTTATGTAACAGATACATAAAATAATAGGGGAAAAATAAAAAAACAATGCATATAAAACCCAGCACAGCTATAAAACCCGATACTTGGGACTTCATCTGGGGCCCAGAGCTAGAGAGCAAAGTCACCCCTGGTTTAAGCCAAAGGCATTGGTGCCTCTGACAGTTCCTTTATATGTATAGAAAAGGTGTGTGCCAGAGTTGTATGGATAAATCTGGAAAAATAGAATGTTAAAAATTCAACACAGTGACACACACACACATTCACAGAAATGTCCAGCCTTATCATCTTTAAAATGCAAATATGTTGTAAAGCAAAAGAGCTTTATTAAAGTCCTGGAATGTAAATAAATCCAAGTAAACCACACAATTCAAGTTTAATCTTCTATTTTGTCTATTGTTAAGAGCTGCCCACATAACTTAGCATCAGCTCCCATCTCAGACATAGGCCCAGAATTTTAGGTATTAAGAGCTAAGGTGTAGAAAACAAGCAAAGCTTTTGGAATTTGATGGCTAACTGGAAAAGAACCTACAGCCAAGAATCGTGAAAAGAAATTGTGGCTAGCCCTAGAATAAAGCAATACAACCAATCACAAGCAGCGCCACAAATGACATATTAAGCAACAAAAGGACTGATAAATTATGCTTTATCAACTGATTAACAAGATGAAAGTAGCCATAACACACAGACAGCTGGGTTTTTACTTCGGTTGAAAGAAAATTTAGGTTATATTATTAACTTAAGACGTAGAAAGGTTCTAAGACTACACTGGGTAAACGTACTATTTTGCCTGTTCCGTTGTTGAACCTGATCACTCCGTCGTCAGAGATGCTGATGACCAGGTTAGCGAGGATTCCAGTTCGGCATGTCAGGGTCAGTTAGCGCCCAAACGATCACAGCTACTTTTGTTGAGCTAATTGGGTGGCTCTGAAAAGAGCCTTTGGGTTTAAAGTTGGCGCTCTCCTTGCAGAGACTTAAGCCCTCTCGCCGCGGATGCGGCGCGCCAGCTGGATGTCCTTGGGCATGATGGTGACGCGCTTGGCGTGGATGGCGCAGAGGTTGGTGTCCTCGAAGAGCCCCACCAGGTAGGCCTCGCACGCCTCCTGCAGCGCCATGACGGCCGAGCTCTGGAAGCGCAGGTCGGTCTTGAAGTCCTGCGCGATCTCGCGCACCAGCCGCTGGAACGGCAGCTTGCGGATCAGCAGCTCGGTGGACTTCTGGTAGCGCCGGATCTCGCGCAGGGCCACCGTGCCGGGCCGGTAGCGGTGCGGCTTCTTCACGCCGCCCGTGGCCGGCGCGCTCTTGCGGGCCGCCTTGGTGGCCAGCTGCTTGCGCGGGGCCTTGCCGCCGGTCGACTTGCGCGCCGTCTGCTTCGTGCGAGCCATCTCTAAAGAGGGCGGAGAGTGTCTTCACCGAAGCCGGTAAAGGGCTCACAGCCCTCCCCCTTTTATACAGCCAGACCAGCAACCATTGGACCCACGAATATTCAAAAGTTCCCGCGCCCTCCCCCGATTGGCCCAGCCCCGTGAGCGGTGCCCGGATTAAGAGCGGCTTTCGGGTTGGTGAATGACTCCTAAACCCTGCCCTTCACGGTAGCTACTCTGACGTCATTTATTTACGCTTTCCATTCTTATATCCACTGTGGACAAAAATCTTGTAACGAGAGCTTCAGAGATTTTGAAATGTCAGGTAATCAAGCAAAGCAACATAGGAATTTCCAACGGATCTTTTCTTAGAGAAACCATCAAGATAATTTACAGGTGCTCAGGGAAATATACAAATGCGCTGCATCTACAATTAAGGTGAAAATTTTCTTGGGTCTGGCACAAATACTGTGGAAAATTGGGAAAATGGTCTTTACTCACAAGCACTATCACCGACCTGTGAGTTACTCTCAGATGTTTCGGCAAATGTGCAGCGTTTTCATCAGCTTGGATCTAGATGGAGAATGTGGGTATCCTTCAACAAATGTTTTAATTAGAACCTAATATCCCAGCTCTTTTCACTTATTTTTTTGCAAAATGTGAAGCTATTGCTCTTGCGATAAACTTTGAAAGTTCATCTGCACAATAGGGCCTGTTTAACGCACGTATTGCCAAACACGGCCAATACCGTGACCCACACTTACACTAAATTCACGTGTGGCTTTTACCTCCAAGCGAGTATTACTATTTTTTATGGGGCACGGGGTAATGCTTTCTGGGAGTTAATCGCGACACTTCACTTTGGTTTTAAACGCTCGTCAGAATTCAAAGCAGGACAGCTCTTTCAAAAGAAAGGGTGGGTGGCTCTTAAAAGAGCCTTTGTTGTTAGGTTAACTCTTTCTTGATTAGGAAAAAGTCCGTGTTAGAAACAACGGTCAGTCTTTTACTTCCCCTTGGCCTTGTGGTGGCTCTCGGTCTTTTTGGGCAGCAGCACGGCCTGGATGTTGGGCAGCACGCCACCCTGCGCGATGGTGACCTTGCCCAGCAGCTTGTTGAGCTCCTCGTCATTGCGGATGGCCAGCTGCAAGTGGCGCGGGATGATGCGCGTCTTCTTGTTGTCGCGCGCCGCGTTGCCCGCCAGCTCCAGGATCTCGGCCGTCAGGTACTCGAGCACGGCCGCCAGGTACACGGGCGCGCCGGCCCCGACCCGCTCCGAGTAGTTGCCCTTGCGGAGCAGGCGGTGCACGCGGCCCACCGGGAACTGCAGGCCCGCCCGCGACGAGCGCGTCTTGGCCTTGGCGCGCGCCTTACCGCCCTGCTTCCCGCGTCCAGACATGACTGATAAAACAAGCAAACGCCTTCAAAAGAAAACGCAAGAATAGAAACAGAGCGTGAGCAAGAGAAGTATTTATACTAACAGGAGGTAGGCTGTTTTCAAGTCTCCTATTGGCTATTTTCAATTAACCAATGAAAAAGCAGAACCAGCATCCCTCATTTACATACACTCTCCCATCTCGCGGGAGGTTTTTGAATGCTTCAGTGTAATCCGGTATGAAGAACTTTTATTTTAATACTAATAATTGAACAATTTGGTTTTTTCAATAATACTATTTCAAAATACAATTAGAAGCAGAAGTCATTGTCCTCATTGCTCCGTCTTTTCGCTGTTTGTCCTTGTCCAAGGTTGTGACTAATTGTGGAATGGAATAAACAGAAAAATTTCTAAATAGGTAACATTTAAGAAGTATATCTATGCCAGCAATTGCTTTAACGCTTTGAACCTCACAACTGAAAAGAAAAAAAGGAACAAAATAATTCTTTGGGACCACTTGAGTGGTGCAGTCGGTTAAGCATAGGACTCTTGGTTTAGACCCTGGTCCTGATCTCAGTGTTGTGCGTTTGAGCCACGGGGAGCCCCAGCATGGACCTTTGTTCTCAGGGCGGGGTTGGCTTGAGATTCTCTTTCCCTCTGTCCTCCCGGACCCTTGCGTGCTTGCTCTCAAATAAGTAAATAAATCTTAAAAAAAAAAAAAAATCTTTGTCAGAGCCCAAGTCTTAAAATATCTGAACAATGAAACCTAAAGGCAAGAACTGGACCAATCAGCCTTTGCCCTGGGACAGCCAAGTTTTCTGCTTCAGCCTTTATCTAAACATGAGGCGTTAGAGGACCAACCACCCTCAAGGTATATAGAGTACTGTTGTCACTTTAGAGACCAGAAGACTTAGAGACAGTTTGTTTGTTTGACCTTGTGCAGGCTCAGGCTGAGTTAATAAGAGGGAGGACTCCAAACTCTTGACTGGGAGTCATCTTTCCCAGTGCCATTTCCAATTCTCCCGCCTTCTCTCTTTTCTCATTTGGCTACAACACAAAGGATTCTAATAGGTTCAGGAAACTCCTCTGTCATCAAGAGAGATTGCCAGGAGAAATGTTGCTGTTTTTCCTTTTACTGTCCATGAGACAAACTAGACGGGGCCCAGATGGAGGTGAATAATTATTTCAGGAATTTTTGCAGGCTCAAGCCTAAATGGCTTCTGATTACCAAACAGGATGGTAAAAGACAAGAGAAGAGCCTATGTGACTCTGAAAAGTAATATGGAGAACAGATATTGGTGAAGGAGATGATGAGGGTAAATTCTTCCATAAAAATATCAGAAGAAAAGTAGCTGTCTCCAGTAACCCCTCTTCCTTCTTCTTTGAGCCAGGGGAGGGACAGAGAAGAAGACTCACCACTAAGCAGGGAGTCTGACACGGGTTTCAAACCCAGACTCAAGAATCATGACCGGAGCTGAAGGCAGATGGTTAACTGAACCACCCAGAGGCCCAAGAATCCCTCATTTTAAAATAGAAGTTAACAATGACAACAGATCTTGAAAGACAGCTCAAGTTGACTTGATCTAGATCTGTACATTATTTATCTGACAAAAATTTTTTTAAAGATTTTATTTATTTGTGTGAGAGAGAGTGAAAGTCCTAACAAGGGAAGGGATTGGAGTCCGGGGAGAGGGACAAGCGGACTTCACCCTGAGCAGGGAGCCCAATTTGGGGCTCGATCCCAGGACCCTGAGACCATGACCTGAGCCAAAACCAACACTCCGATGCTCAACAGACTGAGGCACCCAGGAGCCCCTCATCTAAGAGAATTCTAATAAAACCAGGTTTTTTTCCAGTACTTCAAAAGCCACTTAAAAAAAAAAAAAAGAATGATTATATCCAATTTTGTTTCTTATCTCATAAGTATAAATGTCTATTGAATCCCCAGGATGTGTTCTTTGTGGCAGTATGTTTGAAAATAGTAGCTGGAGGGGCGCCTGGGTGGCTCAGTGGGTTAAAGCCTCTGCCTTCGGCTCAGGTCATGATCCCAGGGTCCTGGGATCAAGCCCCACATCGGGCTCTCTGCTCAGCAGGGAGCCTGCTTCCCCCTCTCTCTCTGCCTGCCTCTCTGCCTACTTGTGATCTCTCTCTGTCAAATAAATAAATAAAATCTTTAAAAAAAATAGTAGCTGGAAACCTTGCTTACATCACACAGAAACAACATATTAAAATTATTTCAAAAGCATAAAACCTTCTGTTTCTGGACCACAGTGAAGTACACACACTTATCTCTATTCTTTCTGCTAGGTACAACTAGAAATCCCAGACATTACATGTAAACCAAAGGTGGAGAGAAGGCAGGTTGGCTAAGTGACCTTGAGAGCTGAAGAACAAGAAAGTTCTGTGTTCTCTGGGTTTTCTTTTTACCTCCCATATCCTGGATTTGGTGCTGAAGAAATTGGCAATCTCGAAATGCCAAGGAGAGCAAACAAACAACAGCAACAATAAAGACACAAAATGAGAACCGGATATCTCTGCCCAAAGGCCAAGGGTTGACCTAGAAAGTAGAAAACTTAAGACATAACCACTGTACAGTGAAACACCATGGAAAACATTGTGCCTCTGCCTCCCCAGCTCCACAGGTATAAGGTTTCCATGGAGGCCAGACGGGGATCTCAGGCTTCACTTACTCAGCGATGATGGGGTGCTTCTCCCTTCTCAGCAGGTGGAAATTATCCAACTAGGATTTTAAAGCAGCCGTCATAAAAATACTTCAATGAACAGATAACAGACCCACTTGAAACAAACGAAAGACTGCAAAACCTCAGGAAAAAAATAATAAAAGATGTAAAGAAGAACTAAATTCAAATTTCAGAACGGAAAAACACAATGACTGACATAGAAAACTCCACTGATGAGCTCAACAGCAGAAAGGAGAAGACAGAGGGGAGAAAAATCAGTGAATATGAAGATAGAAAAATAGAAATTACCCAGTTTGAACGACAGAGAGAAAATAGACTGGGGAGAAAAAAACCAACATCAGAAACCTGTGGGACAATAACAAAAGACCTAATGTTCATGTCTTTAGAGAATCAAAAAGAGAGAAGAAAAGAGAGTGGAATGTCCAAGAATTCCTAAATTTGACAAAAGATGTAAACCTACAGATTTCAGAAGCTTCACAAACCCCCAAGTAGAATAAACCCAAACACATTCTTGACATAAAACACATCATAATCAAACCCAGGCAAACTAAACACACACAAAATATCTTGAATGCAGTGAGAGAAGAAAAAGGGAAGAGGGAAAAAAGGGAAGAAAAGGGAAAAATCAATTCAAACAACAGCAGATTTCTCATCAGAAACCACATACCAAAAGGCAATGTCACATTTTTTTAAGAACTCAAAGAAAGAAACTGGTACTGTCTCTCTGAATTTCATGTCCTTTAGGAATCGGTGAGGGAATAAAGACATTCTTCGATGGAGTAAAGTGGAATTTCTTCCTGGCATATCTCTCCATAGGAAAATGACAAAAGGAAGTTCTTGAAAAAGAAAGGAAATATGAGATTTCTGGAACATTAGGAAGGAAGAAAGGAAAGAAAGAAATATGGGTAAATACAATTCTCATGAGTTTTCTAAATTATGTTTAGAAGCTAAATTTCTTATATTATCTGATGTGGTTCTTGATGTACATAGAGGAAATATTTCAGAGAGTTATATTATAAACAAGAGAGGGTAAAAAGATTTAAAAGAAAACAAGCTTTCTAAGGTTGAACTGGTAACATGTAGATACCAGTAGACCGTGATGTTGTGTGTAGGTAATATCTAGAGCAACCACTAAAAAACTATCCAAAGACCATAGATGAATCAAATTCAAATTGTCTCAAGAAAATATTCAAGTAGCCCACAGGAAAGCTGGAACTAGAAAACAGAGAAATGAACAATAGCGAGGGAAAAATTAGAAACAAACCAACAAAAAACCCACCAGAAAACAAAAATTTAAATGGCAAACTTAAAGCCTAACACGTATGGGAGGAAAATTTTTCCTAAACCCTTTTAGAGTCCCTGGCTGGGTGTGATGATTAAACTGACAAAGATAAACTGGCAGGAGAAAAACATACATATTTTACTGGAATTTTCACATGTACCTGGGAGCCTTCCTAAAAAAATGAAGACCTAAAGAAAGACCAAAGCAGGAAGCTTTTGTACTTTTAGACCACGAAATAAGTTTCTAAAGAACTGAAAAGACACGGGCACCTGGGTGGCTCAGTGGGTTAAGCCACTGCCTTTGGCTCAGGTCATGACCTCAGGGTCCTGGGATCGAGCCCTGCATCCAGTTCTCTGCTCGGTGGGGAACCTGCTTCCCCTTCTCTCTCTCTCTCTGCCTGCCTCTCTGCCTACTTGTGATCTCTCTTTCTGTGTGTCAAATAAATAAATAAAATCTTAAAAAAAAAAAAACAAACAAACTGAGAAGACAAAGGGGTTTGGGCAATAGGTAGTAAATGGCGAAGAAGTAACAAGGTTTATTCAGAGTCTTCTTAGTCCTAAATTCTCTGTTTTCTGGTGATGTTTTTCTAATCCTGCCTTTAGGGAAGAGGGATGAGGGAGAGGAAGTCAAAGTAACCTTGCTTTGCTATTTTCCCAAACACCTCTATCTTAAGATATTCAGTATGTCCAAATGCCATTTTTGCGGTAATATGTCCTGAACCCCCTCAAGGTCAACCATTGCATTAAATGTATATGGTCTAAATACACCCATTAAAAAACAGAGACGGGCTGATTTGATAAAAGTACAGGCTCCAAGTGGATGCTGTTGTAGGGAGAAAAAATCGTTTTCCCTCTACCCTTCTAGATTGTTAGCTGAGACCCTCCCCGCCCCCCGCCCCAGTAATACAAGACCGCTTAACAGGAGGAAACAGAGCTTTAAAAAAAGGAACAACAAAAAAAAAGTTTAATAACGCGTGTACCTCCTGTATGAAAGGGGGAGACCCAAGAAGTACTGAGTAATGCCTCAAATGGCCCCAAGCCATCACCTTAAATACCATCTCCAGCTAAAGGCAAAACATGTTCAGCGTGGAGGGTGGGGAGGACAGTTTTGGGAGGTTACCAGGCAAAGCACAGTAAACAAGGCTATGGTTGTTAGGCAGATTTAAGTTTTTGTCTTTTCCACTGGGTTCTTACAGTTTTAGTCACCCTTCTTTTCCTGGCACAGAGAGGGAATCACTCTTGCAAACTCAGATTTCCCCTGTAAATGTAAATTTCTCTTACAAAAGGCTAACTTTTTTTAGTAGGTTTTCAAAGCTTTTTTAATGTCTGCTATTAAAAAAAAAAAATCACTTTAGGTAATCTTTCTGCCAAAGAGGCATATTTTAGGGTGCAAATAATGCTCCCCTTCACTCTTGACAGGAACTCACTTCAAATATAACTATCCATACAGGTTGAAATGACAGGGTAGAGCTAGAAAAACCTTGCAAATATCAACCAAAGGAATCAAGGGTGCCTATATTAATATCATGTAGGTAAATCAGAGCAAAGAAATTTACCAGAGATAGAAAAGGACATTACAGAATGACAAAAGGGTCAGTCTAATAAGAAAACCAAGAAATCCTTTTTAAAAAATTTTTTTTATTTATTTGACAGAGAGGGGGGGAAAGAGCACAAGCAGGGGGAGCGGCAGGCAGAGGGGGAAGCAGACTCCCCTCTGCATGAGGAGCCTGACACAGGGCTTGATGCCCGGACCCTGAGATCATGACCTGAGCTGAAGGCAGAGGCTTAACCCACTGAGCCACTCAGGCGTCCCAAACCAAGTAATTCTAAACGTGTAAGCACCAAATAGCAGCCTTACAAAATACGTGAGGCAAAAACTGGTAGACCTGCGTGGCGTACAGAGCAAATCCACAATTACAGGTAGGCAGGTCAACACCCCTCCCTCAACAATTGATACAGCAAATATATAAAAAGTTAGCAGATACACAGAACTCAGCAAGTGCCTTGTTTTCATCTGTAAACCAGCAATGGTAATGTAGAGGTGGGAAAATGTTCCCTTCCTCCTTTCTAGGTGCTTTGGCTGGTTTAATAATTACATTTCAACGCAGGTCAGATTAATAGGAGAAAAGCAAATACTATTTCTTATGTCTGAGAGCAGCACAAAGACAGGACACCCGAAAGTCAGGCAGGTGAGACGTGTAGGCCATCCTGAACTAAGGAACGGGGACCGGGGGCTTCAAAGGAGAGACTGGCAATTCACAGGAAGGTAAGAATAGATGTTTGGTTCATCAGCTGTACGCCCTGCCCTGCAGATAAGTCTTTCGGATTTAAAAAAGAAAAGAAAAGAAAAGAAAAAGTTATCCTTGACAATAGCTCTCTTTCTGGTACTTTTAGAATAGGCAGTTAGTGAGGGTCTATGAGGATGCCCGGAGACCAGCAAGGAGGACGCCACCGCCGGCTGTGGGGAAGGTCAGGGGCCCTCCCGGCAGCGTCCGCCAGAAGCTGGATCCCACCAGACAGGCCCAAGATGGCGGCGCCACAACACGGAATCCTTGAGCAAGGGAGGTGGAAGAAGCAGGGGGAGCAGCTCCTTCTCTCTCTCTCATATCTCAAGGGTATAATTTTAACTTTAATAAACCTTTCCGCCTGTGTCCCTTGTCCTCTCTGTTGCATGTCTGTCCTTGAATTCTTTTTTGTGACAAGACCAAGAACCTGGTCACCTCTTTGGGATGTGCAGAGTAGAGGCCCCAGGTCCCAGGGTTTCCCCATTCACTTTAATAGAGATCAACATGATCTCTGTTAAATTTTAAAGGATAAGAAAAAGTATGATCTCATATGACATTCATATATCTATATGCATAGAGACCCATATATGTATGTATGTATGTGTGTGTATATGTGTATGTGTGTGTGTATGTATATATATACATACATATATATGTATGTATATATATAGACAAAGTAAAATTTCCATAAGATCGATGGCAAAAATGTCCTGGGTAATGGAATTACAGTTGGTTTTCATTTGTTTATTTGAAATTATTTGTGGTGGTTGTTATTTTAAAATAACGGGCAGGTATTGTTTTACAAGGAAGTTAAAAAGAACTGACTTAAATGTGTATATTATTTAATGGAAATGAAAAGCCAAGAGGAAAGACATCAGATGTTGCAGAGAGATGCTGAAGGCAGAACTGAGAATTCTGTGTCCTCTCATCTGCTAGGAAGCAGGGCCAGGGCATTCCATTTCTAACTCTGCCCTCTTTCCCAAATCGTGAACACTTTCTGGACCCCCTGTTATGTGTCTTTTCCAAATTTTCAACCTCCCTCCAAATTAAAAGTCTCTCCAGCCCCACCCCCTCTGTCTTGTTCTTGGCACCCAGAACTTTAGCCCAGAGCATCTCCGCTTTCCCTCAGGGACAGATCCAGATCGGGGACAGATGGAGCTCTTCTTGTCTCCAGCTCATCTTCCTTGGACAGGATGGCAGCTAAAACTTCCCCGTGGCTGCACGGGTGATCAGGAAAGTAATACAAGCTATTTTTTTCTCATTTGCTTTTTTACTCAGAAATTGCCTTTTTGGAGAAAAATGCGGGTGTTTTACTAGGGAAGAGGGTGTATAAAGCCTTGTAGGATTTCACTTGGATGGCTCGCCTGCTGGCTCTGCTTGTGTCCAAAATTGGCCTCCCATCATATGCAGCTGGAGAGATTTTATGAGTTTTTTCTGCTTTCTCACCACTCCTCACTATAGATCCATAGTCTACCCCACAGTCGAGGCATCTGATTTTTTTTTTTAATTCTCCTTTCACTTGTTAGAGATCAGCCGGTATTCAGGACAGATGGAAAAAGGCCTAGGTCTGAATCTACAAACCCCAGATTAGTTTGAACTTGTCAATTAAGGGTAAAGTTTTACGTAAAGAATCAAATGTTAGGAAGGAAGGGGAGTATGGAAGGAGAGAGAGAGGAGAGATGAAAGGTAGAAAGCAACAGGTAGGCAAAAGTTTTGAAGGACGAGATGAGGAAAAAAATTATCCCTACCTCAGACCGTTTTGAACAGGATGAGAAATATTACCACCTAGATCTCACCTCGCCAGGGTCAGAACATAAAGGTCAGTGATTTTTAACGTGTTGGCTGAGTTTGATAATTAAAAAAAAAAAGGAAGGGGGGTAGGGAGAATATGTCTTTTTATAATTATTAATTTTTAAGGCCGGGGTCTCATTCACAGCTATATTTTGTGTTGCTGAGACTTGAAGTACTCATACAGTGGTGGGCTGACATTTGAGATCTGGGAAGAGATCATTTAAACTTAAATTTTCTTCATAAAGGGGTCCTTTTAAAGAAATTCTATTGTACATTTTATTTCTTCATCCAAAGTCACTGTTGTGTGTCAACTACATAAAATGCTCATAGACTGATGAAAAAAATACAGTTTTCCTTTTTTTCATCGGCAGTCAACAGCTGAGTCCTACCCATTCTCCTCTCCTCCCCCAATCCCGGACCTAGACCTGCCCCATTACCTCCTCTTCATCAAGGCATTTTCTGTCTTTACAGAATTATTTTTGGAGTCTGGTGTCTTCGATAGAGGTTTACCAAGAAAAACCAGCACAGCTTCGTCTCCAACCCAGGCCCTCCTCGCCAGCCAGTAAGGTGGCGCGATAGGGAAGAGCGGGAAATTCAAACCTTTTGTCCTTCTTAGAGCTGGACGGCCATCCCCCCCGCCCTTCTAGTGACATTCTCGAAATGCCATTAACACTCAGAATGGGAAATGGGACCTCGGAATCTTGGGACGCAAAAAAAATTGAAACGGGTGTAGATTGGCTGTTGCCATCGGTAAACAATTCTAGTGTGAAACTAGAGTAATTCCCTTTAAACTGTGCAAAGAACTTGAAGTGTATCTCAGAAGTGCCCACGAGAACCACCGGCGTATATCTACCCAGTGTTTTATGCAAGGGAATTTAGGGTCCAGGTATAAGCCCTACTTCTTTCCCGCAGCCCAGATCTCGCCCTCCTCCCAACAGCGAGTCTCGATTAGTCATGCCCTGAGGGTCCCTATTCTGAAAACCTTTAACCACTTTACTCTGCAGGAAAACCCTTTTTCAGCAACGTAAACACTAGGAAAATAAGATTGAGAATTTGCAAGCATCCTGAGCTTTAGGGGAAGACAACCTGGGATGAAAAAAATGGGTGAAATCAACCATTGTTGGATGAGATTCCTTAAAACTCAAACTGTAGTGGCAAACTTGCACTTAACACCGCAACGAAGTGGTGGTTACAGATCTTTGTTGATAAGTGGGTGGCTCTGAAAAGAGCCTTTGGGGTTGAATCACAAGCCGCTTACTTGGAGCTGGTGTACTTAGTGACGGCCTTGGTGCCCTCAGACACGGCGTGCTTGGCCAGCTCCCCGGGCAGCAGCAGGCGCACGGCCGTCTGGATCTCCCTGGACGTGATGGTCGAGCGCTTGTTGTAGTGCGCCAGGCGGGACGCCTCGCCCGCGATGCGCTCGAAGATGTCGTTGACGAACGAGTTCATGATGCCCATGGCCTTGGATGAGATGCCGGTGTCGGGGTGCACCTGCTTCAGCACCTTGTACACGTAGATGGAATAGCTCTCTTTGCGGCTGCGTTTGCGTTTTTTGCCGTCCTTCTTCTGTGCTTTAGTGATGGCTTTTTTGGAGCCCTTCTTCGGAGCCGGAGCAGATTTGGAAGGCTCAGGCATGGCTTTTCCCTGTAAGTTGTAGAAACAAGAATCGCACTCACCCCAACAAAGGTTAGTGTTGTGAAAAGTCCAGAGCTCATTCTTTTATAGTTCCTCAATGCAAATGAAGTTTCAAGAATTGTCACTTCTGATTGGATAAAATGTGAGATCTCTCGCTCTGGGGAGGGGTTTATGCAAATAAGGGATTAACAGTCTCTCTTTCTATTGGATACACAGACTAACATAGTTTGACCAATGGGGTAGCTTGTAGGCTCATTCCTGAGCTGCCTATAAAAGAGGTTTTTGGCGGGGTTAGAGGGCGGGTGGTAGTTGCAAACGTGTTTTTAGTGTATGTGTTGTTTTGGTTGTTGAGCTTAATTAAGTCGACATGTCTGGCCGTGGGAAGCAAGGGGGTAAAGCCCGTGCCAAAGCAAAGACTCGGTCATCCCGAGCCGGTCTGCAGTTCCCGGTGGGCCGCGTGCACCGCCTGCTCCGCAAGGGCAACTACTCGGAGCGGGTCGGGGCCGGCGCGCCCGTGTACCTGGCGGCCGTGCTCGAGTACCTGACGGCCGAGATCCTGGAGCTGGCGGGCAACGCGGCGCGCGACAACAAGAAGACGCGCATCATCCCGCGCCACCTGCAGCTGGCCATCCGCAACGACGAGGAGCTCAACAAGCTGCTGGGCCGCGTCACCATCGCGCAGGGCGGCGTGCTGCCCAACATCCAGGCCGTGCTGCTGCCCAAGAAGACCGAGAGCCACCACAAGGCCAAGGGCAAATAAAAATCTAGCACAGACAGCACGTATTTTATACTCAACTATAGCAAATAAAAGGCTCTTTTCAGAGCCATCCACATTTTCACAAGAATGGCTGGTAACCCAGTTTGTGCTACCTTGGTAGAACCAATCCTGAGCAAACCTATAAAAATGGGGAAATTGAAACATTGAAATTTAAGGAAACAGGTTCTCTACTATGGGCTGAGTGTGTACCAGACGTGTCAGTTCGCTACAAGAAGTGCAAGAGGCTGAAATGTACAAGCAGGAAGGAAATTTGCTTTTGACCAGTAATAAAGTTGCACAAGCTTTCCAAGTTTTCAGTTTAGGGAAAAATTTCATCCAACAAAGGCAAGCTATCATTGCGGTACAGTTTTGTATGTAGCATTAGTAGATCCGGTGCTTTACGTGCGATATTCCAAATACACCCAGGAACGCTGCCATGTAGTTTAATACGAGAAAACTCGGTATTAGGAGAGCTATAATGACCGAAGATCTAGGAAGAGGCAGTCCAGGTTACCCGAGATCTACTTCAAAATAACTAGCCCAACTGCCTAGAGACGGTAACAAGACAAAATTGTACTCAGTGAAGTGTGCAGACCGGCAGGATTGATAACCTCCGAGCCTGTGAAGAATTGGGGGAATCTCAGGTTCACTTACATTTACAGAACCACACAGATTATATTTAACATGTTTCTTAAAAGGCTGGCTAGGGCTCCTGTGCTTAGTGAAAGCATAAAACAACCTTTGAATATTAATTCACACTGAAAAGAGGGAGAGAGGTGGAGTTATTCATCCAATCGGATTCTCCAGTAACTCACCAATGTGGATACCGTTCGACCAATGATTTCATCGCGCGGTTCTTTTGAAAAACTACGAGGCCAATCAGAATGCCTCTTACTGTATATAAAGGAATCTTTGCGTTTGCTCCCCAGGCTCTCGGTGTGTCTTTAGTTCCCCCCAATGGCTCGCACGAAGCAGACGGCGCGCAAGTCGACCGGCGGCAAGGCCCCGCGCAAGCAGCTGGCCACCAAGGCGGCCCGCAAGAGCGCGCCGGCCACGGGCGGCGTGAAGAAGCCGCACCGCTACCGGCCCGGCACGGTGGCCCTGCGCGAGATCCGGCGCTACCAGAAGTCCACCGAGCTGCTGATCCGCAAGCTGCCGTTCCAGCGGCTGGTGCGCGAGATCGCGCAGGACTTCAAGACCGACCTGCGCTTCCAGAGCTCGGCCGTCATGGCGCTGCAGGAGGCGTGCGAGGCCTACCTGGTGGGGCTCTTCGAGGACACCAACCTCTGCGCCATCCACGCCAAGCGCGTCACCATCATGCCCAAGGACATCCAGCTGGCGCGCCGCATCCGCGGCGAGAGGGCGTAAAACAAACTGCCGGTTGTAAAAGGCTCTTTTCAGAGCCACCCACTATCTCTTGAAAGGGGTTGTAACTTACGGTCCCAACTACAGAAACAAAGTTTATTTGCCACGGAAATGATTTCTGACGTGGACGTTTTTAGTACAAGGTGTATTTGAGTGTTAACCTGCTGAATATTCCAAGTCCCTTTCTCAGGCTTCAGCAGACCTGTTAAAGAGCTGCTGTTTTAAGATGCATTTATCGTTTCCGGGGTGACATGAAAGCAGTTGTAATTTTCTAGAGCCGTTAGACAAGCTTCACATGTGCACCAGGAATAGAGTGCAAATTAAGCTTGTAGTTGGACTCTGTCTCCAGGGAGTTTTCTCTTTCTGCGTTTGCAGTGCGGTTCCTAGAACCCCTTTATATTGGTTTAGTTTGGCCTGTTCAGTTCCAACTTCAGAGAATACCATTTAGTCAGGTGAGTTTGCAGAGGGTCCTGACCACCCCCTGTAAAAGCTTTTATTCCATTTAACATAACAGAAGCAAGTCTAACAGCATTTTCAGTATCCTTAACGTTTCCAATAATCTGCAAAACATTTCATGTATCCTGACTTCAGAATCTTGTATTGGTCTGAGAAGGGACCAAGTTACAGAAACAGACTTCTGTACTCACCAGAAGACACCCACTAAATACATATATGCAATAAGACAAAAGACTGATCTATCATTATCCGAAGTTTCTCTGCCTACGCAACTTAAAATCAGTGGGATTTGATTCTGAGAGGCTGTTACCTAGAGTGTTTCTCCTACCCATGTCACCCCCCCCCCCGCCTTTTTTAAAGTTGTGTGTGTGTGTGTGTGTTTAAGGTTTTATTTATTTGACATAAGAGATCACAAGTAGGCAGAGAGGCAGGCAGGGGGTGGGGGATGAGGGGTAGGGGGCAGGGAGCAGGCTCCCCACTGAGCAGAGAGCCTGATGCAGGACTCCATTCCAGGACCCTGAGATCATAACCCGAGCCAAAGGCAGAGGCTTAACCCACTGAGCCACCCAGGCACTCTCCATGTCCCCTTTTAATAAATGCAAAATCATTCACTAAAGTGATACTTTCTTTAATTTTCTAAGTGTAAAGTTATAATAAACTGATGGTAGTCCAAGGTTTTTTGAGGCCTAAAACTTACACAACTTGGCAACTCAATAGTCACAATTCAAAATTTAACATACAAAATAGACAGTGAATATTTATAATTGAAAGGATCCAAATTCCAATTTTACCAAAATAAAGCTGTAGCTATCACAAAATTCAGTAAAATAGCACATTAATTTTCGAATACAACACTATAATTTTTTTGTCTTAGAATATATATATATATATATTTTAAGATCTTATTTATTTGACAGAGAGAGAGAGAGATCAGAAGTAGGCAGAGAGGCAGGCACAGAAAGAGGAGGAAGCAGGCTCCCCGCTGAGCAGAGAGCCAGATGCGGGGCTCAACCCCAGGACCCTGGGATCATGACCTGAGCCGAAGGCAGAGGCTTTAACCCACTGAGCCACCCAGGTGCCCCTGTCTTAGAATATTTTTGATGGCATACTCTGATTCCATTTTCGCTTGAAAATTATTTGAGGGCAACCCTCTCGGGTTGCCTCCCTCCTTGGAAACTTTGTGCTATTGCTCAATAAATCTTGTTTTGCTGCCCACCAAAATACACACACACACACACACACACACACACACACACACACACACACACGTATATTTATGTATATGTATATGAATATACACATACATATGTATGAATATTTCCTATATATACAGTGGGAAGAGAATTCAGTATTTCCTCCCAGGTAAATTGATCACAATTTGTTTTGTTCTCTTGATAACTTAGAACTGAGTTTCAGCTTCCAAACACACTATTGGTAGTGTCATTTTTAAGACTGTGTTCAAATCTGGGAACTCCTTGGTCAATCTTCTTTCATATATGAGTTGTAAAATTTGGAAGGATTCTTCATGGACTAGCTTTCAGCTCTATACGTTTCAAATCTTGATTCATCCGTACTATACACCTTTACTGCCACGGCAGTTGCTACAAATACACGGATGTCATTATGTGCATCCAGCACATCTTGTCTGAAATTCAGGTTTGTCAGTGAGCAGCAGGAGTGCACAGCATGAAACCACTCTTCCAACTGATTGGCTAGAACTGAACTATATGTGAGCACATCTGCGAATTTTATACTTTGTTAATCCTAAACTAAACATATAGGAAGTAAATTTTCTCTTACCTAAATCCAAATGTGTTCATCGGAATCCCCATATAATCAGGCGAAAGGTGCACTGGAATACAAAAGGGAAAATTGAGTGGCAACAAACAACAGGTGTAACCCGCTGTGAATAAAATATCTTAATATTGAAATTTTTAAAAAAGAGAGAGAGACCAAGTGAATACACTCCCAAGGGCCTAACATTTGAGTTTCATTAGCTTCAGGGTAAATGTGCTTCTGAACACTTCCTGTGCTTTTCTAAATTATACACGGCCTTCCCCTGCTCTCCTACCACTCTCTTCCAGCACTAGGAATTGAGAACCGCTAGTTTGGGATGACATGTAGGCCTCTGGGATAACCCAAGCGTGGCTTGCATGCTGCTTTGGATGGTGGGACCATTCACAGAGATACCAGAAGGACAAAACTTACCGGGAAGGATATAAAGTCAACTCCGAGCAATTTGAACATTTTTGGTGTGAATGTGAGTTCCCTGGGACAATACTGCAGGGTGTTATGGTTCTATTCTGGACTGAATATCATCTTCCTTTAAGAGGTCCCCATGGGAGGAACAATAAAACCAAGTTTTCACTGGAGACAGTTGAATAGCTAACCTTCATAGCGTTCCATAGGTCAAGTACCATGTGAACTGATTGGCCTGAATTGTTATATACCATTTCTTACTTTTTTTTTTTTTTTTTTTTTTTAAGTAGGCTCCATGTCCAGCATGGGGCCCAATGCAGGGCTCAAACTCATAACACTGAGATTAAGACCTGAGCTGAAATCAAGAGTCAGATGCTCAACAGACTGAACCACCCAGGCGCCCTGATATCATTCTTGATACAACACTGAAAGTCAAGTTCTCTCACTGTGTCCATTTTACGGAGCAAGAACTTTAGACATTTTAGTTAGACATTTAGACATTTTAGTTAATTGGCCAAATTCATACTACTAATAAATATCATTGACAGGCAATGTCACACTGAACCTACACTCTAAATATCTTCTGATTAATAAGATTGCCCAGAAAGGGATTCTTAGAGCTAGCTGCTCCTGTCACACAGATTAGGCTGGATGGCTAAGATATGCAGTGGCCTGAACTTGGGCTACCTTCTATTGTCAGAGTCCTCTGCTCAGTGGCCTGGTATGAGATGAGGTGGATAGGATGAGGAAAAGAAACATCACATATTAGGGATGCTCTCTGGGCCTCGGGACCAGCTCAGAATCATCATTTCCTTGGAAACATCTGGATTCTGCTACAGAGCAAGTATTTGCTTGTGTCTTACCCACAGTGTTTACTATGGACCTATATTGTCCACGATAGTAACCACTAGCCATGGATAGCTATCATGCACCTGAAATATGACTAGTCCAAATTGGGACGAGCTTTGAGGGTAAACTATATACCAGGTTTCAAAGAGCTGTCTGGGACTAGCTGTCTGAAAAATAGAATAAAAAAACCTCCTTAATATTTTTTATATTAGATAACTTGTTGAACTGGTATTTCTATTATAGTGAGTTAAAATACTATTAAAAGAGATTTATGTGTTTCTTTTCTACTTCTTTAAATGTGGCTACTAGAAAATGTCAAATAAGTGATACAGCTCTTACAGTATTTCTGAGGATAAGCACTAGCATACAGAAGATAGTTACACTGGCTCACTGATTGGAAACTAACAAGCTATATTCTTTTTTTTTTTTTTAAGATTTCATTTATTTATTTGTCAGAGAGAGAGAGAGAGGGAGCACAGGCAGACAGAGTGGCAGAGGGAGAAGCAGGCTCCCTGCAGAGCAAGGAGCCCGATGCGGGACTCGATCCCAGGACGCTGGGATCATGACCTGAGCCGAAGGCAGCCGCTTAACCAACTGAGCCACCCAGGCGTCCCAACAAGCTATATTCTCAATATCACCAATCCCCAGTATTAGTGACACCTACGTGCTGTGACAAGGTGTTTGACAGTAAGTGGAGAGGGATGAGCAACAGTGTTTGGCACATTGTAAATTAGAGCTCGGAAATGCTCTAATTCTCCACTGTGAAATCCTCTAATGATGTAATCTTGCCTCTCCTGGACCTGTTCATCTCTGGTATGAGTTTCAACCCAAAGTTACTCTCTATACTTCCCTTAGGCATAGAATAATACCTAGAATTTTGCTTATGAGAAGTAATAGGATATTTAATTTTTCAGCCATGAGAGCTCTGTGTATGGGCAAGAGAAAAAAAAAAGTTTGCATTATAATGCATTACAATTATATTGCATTATAATGCATTACAAGTAGCCTTTAATTTCTGTGTTACTCACATTTTTGTCAAACATGGACACGAGATCGTGAATTTTCATTGTTGAATTATCAACCAGCAATTTTGTTTATGCAGTATTCATTGCCCGTTTTGGCTAATCAGGCATGTTTGGGCAATTATTTGAATATATTATTGCCATTATCAGTATGATCATAGTAAGTAGAATGTTGGAAATGATAATATGAATAATGTCAAAATAAAATATAAACTTCATTATTAGAAATCAAAAACAAGGACCTTTTTCTTAAAGCGGCCAAATTGGAGTCTAATGAATGGCTTACAGCATCGGACTTAAGCCAGGCTACTTTGTGAACACTGGTGAGGGAATGGAACAAAATCGAAGAAACATTAGTGAAGATTTTATCTAAAGTCTAGGTGACATTAGAGATTTTTACAACTTTCAGCTCTCCACGAACGAACTCTCCCTACACCCTACTAGAGAAGGGCGATTGTTTGTTCTTGAGGAATACATTTCATTTGAAAGTAAAGGACGCCCGTTACCTAAGCAGGCATGTTTGCAGGAGACATTCAATGTTAGGGTCAACTGCAAGTATATAACCTCCAAAGGTGTGCGGACTTAACAGCATCCGAAGAGGAAAGGAAGCGTGGAAGTACTCTACGCTCGACTGAGGACGAACTGTGCTTCTATTTGGAGTGTCTTAAGTCTCCTGATTGCTAGAACTTGACCCAGTCTGAGCTGAGAAGTGACCCTAGTGGCAGGAGTTGAGATGGCTAGGAGAACCAAGAACTCCAATGTCAGGAGCACAGACAATAACCCTCTAGGCATCTCTTGGCTCCATTTTGGTCTTTTTAGTCACCAGCCTTCTTGGTTTCTCCTAGAGAGTGTCTAAGAAATCAGTTCCCTGGACATCGGTTCACCTCAGTTTCTATAACTCAATTCCAGTTTTTGGAAGACAATTGTTGATGGTTCATTTTGGCCCAGTGCCCTGTGGACCAGTCAACCATCATTTAAGGTCAGACACTTCACCAAAAATTTAAGCACAGAAAATAGTATATATTGACACCCTGACATGCAAGCTTTAAGCCAAAGACCAGGTTAGAGAAGACCAGGATTATTTGGGACCAGAGGGCATTCTAGAGTTTCATTGTTCATATGGTTGCCAGGAGCCACATATAGTTAACTGAGCTGTTGAACAGGTTAGCAGGAACTGAGATATGCCGTATGCATAGAGTTTTCAAAGACATAATATGAGACGCAAAAAAGAATGTGAAATAACTTATAAATATTTTTCCATTGCTTTTATGTTGAATGAGAATATTTTGGATATATTACGTTAAATAAATTATGTTATTAACATTGATTTCACCTGTTTCTTTTTTCTTTCTGTGGCTATACACGACATTGTTCTAGAGGTTGTTAATTCACACAGGCATAGATCTCTTCCAGAACTGGGTATCTTCTTCAGTGTGCCCTTTATGGTATTCTGGCCCTCAAGGAATCTCAAATCTCATAGGTTGCCATTTCAACAGTAGAAAGATGACAAAATATCTGGGAATAAAGGTAATAAGAAATATGAAGATCTAGTTGGAGAAAATTTGAAACATTCTCCACATGTACAAAATATTTGAAAAAAAAGGGGGGGGAAATAAAATGTTCTTGAATAGGAAAACTTCATTGTCTCCCCAAATTAATTTGTAAATTTAACATCATCCCAAAGAAACTACTGATAGGGTTTTGAGGGTTTTTTATGCATAGTGGAGGGGTGGAGAGGTGGGAGGAAGGAAGCATCTTAAATTACATTTGGAAAAACGAAATTAACAAAAACTAGAATAACCAGGAAATTCTGAGAAAGAGCAAGAACAGGGAATGAGCTCTATCAGCTAGTAGTCACAACACCTCAGTTTATTAAACATTCAATTTTTATTTTAATACCTACTATAGGTCACGTATTCTCAGCATTGAAAATAGTCCTGTGAACAATATTTAGTGTGATCACACTTGAGGAATGAGAGACCAAAGGAACAAAGTAGAAAACCAAGAATTATTCCACTTACCCAGGGAATTTAGCCTATGATAAAGGTGGCATCTCAAAATGAGGGTGGAGCAGGGAGGGGACAAGGGGAAGACATGGAAGGGTTGTATACATTTATTAAACCTTACAACAAAATACAGAGGGCTCCACGGTTTTAAATGTGAAATTAACAGCACAAAAATTACTTCGTGTAATTTATGGAAAATTGGGAAAATTGTCTTCGTGTGCACGCGCGCGCTGCGCCCTAAAAGTGGAGGTCTTTCTACTTACAACAACGGACACTAAAGTGTCCCCATTCCGTGGGAGGGGCGGTGCGGGTAGGGATGAAACCCGTGATCGCTGCCGGTAATGCGGGAACGAATCTAGATTAATTAACCGCTAGTTCCGTCATCGTGGCAACGGACGAAAAACTGAGCAGCAGGTCCCAGAAGCCCCTGTTCCTGGAACTTGAGAAAATCCGTGTTCACCAGAATAGAAGCAGGACTAGGACTTTGTCCGGAAGAAACGCCATGAATATCAAGGAACCCGCAGATAACACCGTGAATACAAACGAAAGCCCTTCGTTAGGCATCACCCCCCACCCACGCACACGTTTCCAGTTTACCCATATTTTGTTCCTGGCGTCGAAACTGTTGGACTTGGGACCGCCGCACAGAAATGCGTTTAAAACGTCTCCGGCTTTTGGATGTTGACGTCTGCCTACAATGAGGCTTGGGGACCCGCTGCCAGGACAAAATGGCCGACGAAAAGCTGTTTCTGATGCCCTGAAATCCATCACACCTGTGTCCAAAGGTACGCGAGGCGAGGCACTGGAGGGCGCAGGTCGGGCGGTGCGCCCGGGCAGGGTCGCCGCCGCCACCGCGCGTTGTCCCGGCGAGGTACTTGGGCCGCGGCGCACCGGCTTGCACACCAGAGCGCGGGACGCAGGCGCCTGCGCCCTCTCCTCCCGGGCCCGGGACTGCCCCCGGACACCCCAACTTTAATTTCCAAAACATGGTAAGTGTCCGAAATACATATTTATCAACCGGAAAGGCCCAATTCAACCCACCAGAAACAAAACACACACAGACTACACCCGAGGCCGGACGCCACCCAATGAAACACACGACGAAGACCACGGGCTGGAGGAGTGGGCCAACCCGCGAGCAGGGCGGGACTTTTGAATGACTTTCCAACCCAATCGGGGTATTCCTGAAGACAAACTGGCTGGCTTGATTTGTGGTTGTTTTCGATGTACCCGGCGCGGGGCGGGGCTGGCGGACGAGCGCGCGCCTCGGGACAGCGCTTCCGCACCGCCGCGGGAAAGGCCACCGGGGGCACCGCAGGGCAGGGGACAGGCCCCATGGCCGCACAGAAACACCCCCCCCCGCCCCTTTCCGGTTGGCGTTAAGCCCAAAGTTACCAACCACACCCCCGCAACCCTATCCTACAGCTGAAAGTTAAGAGGGAAAAACGAATAGGATGCGCAGAGAATGCCCAGCTCTTTCTCGGAGATAGTGGTGGCTCTGAAAAGAGCCTTTTTGGGTTTCAGAAGCAGATGTCCAACAACCTACTTCTTCTTGGGTGCAGCCTTCTTGGGCTTGGCAACCTTGGGCTTGGCAGTCTTGGGCTTCAGGGCCTTGGCTGTGCTCTTGGCCGCCTTCTTGGGCTTGGCCGCCTTGGCCTTCTTCGGGCTCTTGGCCACTTTCTTGGCGACAGCCGCCGCCGCGGGCTTCTTGGCCTTCTTGGGGGTCTTCTTGGCGCTCTTCTTGGGGGCGCTGGCCCCCGCGGCCTTCTTGGGCTTCTTGGCCGCCCCGGCCGCCTTCTTGGGCTTGGCCGCGCCCGCCTTCTTGGCCTTGGGCTTGGCCTCGCCGGAGGCCGCCTTCTTGTTGAGCTTGAAGGAGCCCGAGGCGCCGGTGCCCTTGGTCTGCACCAGGGTGCCCTTGCTCACCAGGCTCTTGAGGCCCAGCTTGATGCGGCTGTTGTTCTTCTCCACGTCGTAGCCGGCGGCCGCCAGCGCCTTCTTGAGCGCCGCCAGGGACACGCCGCTGCGCTCTTTGGACGCGGCGACGGCCTTGATGATCAGCTCCGACACCGGGGGGCCGGACGCCTTGCGGCGCGCCCCTGCGGGCTTTTTGGCCGCCTTCTTCTTCACCGGGGTCTTGTCCACCGGGGGGGCGGCGGCGGGAGCGGCAGGAGCGATCTCCGACATGCTGAGGCTGTGGGACTGGGTACAAGTGGCAGAGCGCCGTGGGTGCGCCGCGGCCGGGCCGCCGTATATATAGAGCGCAGGCGCGCGCTGATTGGTGCTCCGCTCGCCCGCCTGGCTGGCAGCTCCGAGCCGCCGCCGTGCGCCCAAGTTGTGTTTGTTCCACTTCACAAAAGGGGGAAAATGTTAAAATACCCCGCACCAAATCTCCCGACTTTGGTCGGGAAAGGATCCGAGAATCCTCAGGCCTCGTGCTCTCCATTTATTTTTTCCGCAAGCCCAAAGACAACGCGTCCAGGTGCCCCCAACTCCCCCAACTCCCAGGGAAGTCCAGGACGGTCGGAGACCACTTTCTGTTTTTCTTCTAAATTACCTGTTCGCTCCTTTGCCCCTGAAAGTTCTTTTTCTCAGGAGTGCTTGGGCACATGCTGCCCTTCTTTGGGATACAAAAACGAAATGGTTTCCACCTAAGTTTTCACGATAATTCTGTTTCTTCGCAGGGGAAGTAACACAGGTCCTCTGTGAGTTCTGCGCACAGACCCACAAGAACCGTGGACGGGGACAAGGATTCCCGGGCCAGTCCAAAGCAGTTAGGGCTGTAAGAAAGGGGGTCCAGAAGCCTTGGGGGCTGTCCTGGGTCGTGGAGGGTTAGAGACTTAAATCTTAGACTTGAAGACATTGAAATTCTTTTTCAAATCCGTCTTTTCACAGATGGGGGCGGGGCACTCTTCACTTCTCCAAGGGCGAGAAATTGGGCAGTTTTTCAAAAGGTCTCAGGTTCCCCTCTGGGTTGTGCAAGGCAGGGGGTCTGACCCTCAAGAATAGGGATAATGAGGGAAAAAGGGAGACCCCCTAAGCTTACAAAAAAAAAAAAAAAATCCTCAAAGACTTGGCGGCTATAAACATTGAGATGATCTGTTTTCAAAGAAAACCAGCATTTATTATTTTTATATGCTCCAGTAAAGGGGTAAATTTTAGCCCATGAAAATTCTGGGTTACTTCCAGTAACAATATCTGAAGACATGTTATGCTATAGAAGGACACTCTGTAGCTGGGAATTCAAAGATCTGGATGACTTTCATGTGATACACTTTTATCAGGTAAACTATAGATCTGAAGTTGAGCAAAACAGATGGCAAAATTTTAAGTAGAAACAGAGGAAAAGTACTGGAACATATAAATTATTACACCATTTTTTTGTTGTTGATAAGAACACCTCTTCTCGCCCCCTCTGAAGCAGGTCTTACATATTCTGGTCTCAAGTTTGCTTTACTTCTTTACGGTTCGTTATTTCATATTTCAGCCTTTGGTCGCCAGCAGTTGCAATTTTTTCTTGAGCTGAATAAAGTTACTACTCAAGTATTTAATAGAATTATATATTTGTATTTAGGGGCAAAGGAAGTATTAAAACTTACCAGAAATTCCCATTCAAATATACAGCGAATGAAAATATGTATTGAAGATGTTTGCCTTAGATTGTGATCAAGAAGTACAAACTAAGTTCAGTGATGAATAAAAAATGAAGCATCTTTTAGACTAAGGATAACTCCAGGGTTTTACTGAACACCATTTGTTCAACATTTGGAAATTGTGTCTAGTACTGATCATGTCCTCTGGGAATTAACAGCTTAATAAGATTAGTGATGGATGAATTACCAGCCATAGAAAACTACTTTAGACCTGCCATCTCTCACTGTGACTCTGGATATAGAATTGTTAGAAGTTATTGAAAGTGTTTGAATAACTAAAGTACTTTTATCACACTAATATACTTTGGTAACAAAATAACAAAACAAAATAAGAACATGCCACTTTGCTCTGATTCTCTGTGCAATGAGACCCCCCCCCCCCAACCTCCCCAACCCCACCACCACCGCATCCTGGCCCCCCACAGCATCTGAAATTCAGTTAAGTGCGCTTAACCACCAGGAAAACAGCAGTGGAAAGTCTTGATTGCCAGGTCACTGGACTTCCCGTCCCGGTTTATAAGTCAGCAACGTGTCAGTTTGATTACTGTGATTCAGTTCTCTAATGCGATCACTCAGGTTGAATCAATCAAAACACACCTCCCTACAGTCCAGTCGGATGTCCAGATCGCAAGTGATTAGGACACCAGCCTCTCAGTCTTGCTCCCAACTCCTGGCTGCATCGAATAGGCCGGAAGGCAGAGAAACAACCAAACCGCCTCCAGATCCCTGTAACTTATGTTGAGAAAAGGTATCCAAAACTTAAAAACAAGGGAAAACTATTTCTTTCTGTCCTTCTGAGCTGTATTAGAAAATTGTCTGGGTTCATTTCTGGGTCATTTGATGCTCTAAGGCAATGTTCTACAATAAAACAGAATGTGAGTCACATGTGTAACTTTAAGTTTTCTGGTAGTCCCATTGACAAAAGTAAAAAGAAGCAAGTGAATTTCATTTTAATAATGTATTCTACTTCACGCAATCTATCCAAACTCTGACCATTTCAACATGTAATCGATATTTTAAAAAAATAAGATAATTTATGTTCCTTTTCTTTTAATCAAATAGCAAGTCTGTCAAATCTAGTTTATTTTGTATTTGTAGAACATTCCATTTCAGACTAGCCACCAGTCACTAGTGGCCACATGTAGCTACTAGTTATCATTCTGGATGGCCCGGCATTCAAGAAGGTAAGTGACTTCATGTTTACTCTTTGATTAGGTCCAGAGTATGTGAAATTAGGCATTCACTTGTAGAAGATTGATACGTTAGTAAGGGTTTTGTCCAGTTGAGAGGTAAGTGAACGCTTTCCAGTAGAAAAGATAACCTTAAAAGTAATGATTGCATTTTTTTCTTTTGCTGACTGAATATGTATTTCATTTTCCTGTATCCTGCCTTGACCTAACTTTGTCATCCTGCTTGCTTCCTTGTTAATGACTTTTATCATTATTTGCCCCATGCACAAGCCTGCTGTAAACAGTACTTGTAGGAGACATGTGGGTTTTGTGTGTGGGATTTTTTTCTTTTTAATATTTTATTTATTTATTTATTTATTTATTTATTTATTTGTCAGAGAGAGCACAAACAAGGGGAATGGCAGGGAGAGGGAGAAAGAGACTCCCTGCCGAGCAAGGAGCCCCACACTGGGCTCCATTCCAGGACCCAGGATCGTGACCTGAGCCAAAGGCAGAGGCTTTAACCCACTGAGCCACCAGGTGCCCAGGAGACACGTGTTTTTAACTTTTTGAAGATTATACTTTGCCACTTTGTTAGTCAGTTTGTTCTAAGTGCTCCAAATCAGAATCTTTAGAAACCATTCTAAAAATCAGAAGGTGTAAAACTTTTTGGCCATCGACTTTAAAGTAACCTTAGATCTGGTAGGTGTGTCATGGAGTCTCGCGCTTTGAAATAAGATTGAACAAGCCTGTGAGCAACAGAAAGCCTACTAAAATTAGCTCCAAGGGAGAATTCAGGTCAAGGGTGTGGTCCTCCCACTCAAATATCAAATACCTCAAGGTAGCCGACAATAAACCAACGACACAAATATCACAATGCAATGAATTGTGTATTCTTGTATTTACACACATTCTGAAAAGTATGGATTGGCTAAATTTCTTTCGTGTTCGTCAGGTCTGGAAAGCTGGTGAACAAAATTAAATGTGCAGAGCTGAATGCCACGTCCCAAAGGCAATAATGGCCACGGGACAGAGCGTGGGGGGGAGAGAGCCTTGAGCAGCGTGAAATGCACAAGGACGATGAGAGGAGTTGCTGGAGCAGGTGTAGGCATCGGCCTTCCACCGTGCCAGAGAAGGGTTCTGTCTGCTTCCGAAAGTAGCTAACCTGGTGCTGGTGAACCTTGTTACAGGTTCCCACGGGGAGCGGTTCAAACCTGCTTCTTCCCGACTCACCAACTGATGAGGTTAATAACAGCAGCCGCTCCACTAGCCTCCTTGGTTGAGGGTACAGGGCTCGTGGTTTGCTCCATTGTGAGGCTGACGATACAGGGCGGCCTGAGAAAAAGGATACAGGGAAGAGCTTCAGGAGATTGGCAGCCTAAAGAAGATCGTAGGCTTGCTGACTGTTTCAGCCCCACGAACCATCCTGACAAATAGCCCAGTCTCTGCAGGCAAACGGCCAACAATTACTCAATCAGACCCGAGCCAAAATGTTTCCCACAGCACAGCCTGTGGGCACCTTAAGGGCGGAGACCACTGTTTCTGTATGTTTATTCCCTGACACATCCTTAAAAGACTTGGGGAAACAGAGAACATAATGGTACAGCACAGAATAGGAGCTTAATAAATACATAGAGAATATCACCAAGGGAGTAATACATTCCAAAACATATTTAGCTAACATTCTGGAATTGCCGCTAGAACCACATAAGTGACACAAGAAGCTAGGTCATCCAGAGCCCCCTTATTCTTTAAGCTTGTCTTCAAATGACTTTAAACTGTCTCAAAAGTCAAACCTACCCTCAGAAGAAAAGGATTTATCAATAGTGAGAATATATACATTTTTATAGCTTCCCAGTCAAGGCCAGTAATAAAGGTGATTATAATCCACAAGCTGTAGACATATTTTAGGCGGTAGCCTTAATCGGAGTAAGCATAAAGCCTTACCCTGTGGCTCTTTTGGAGAAAACATGGACATACAAGTTTTGATAGATGTGTTAAGACGTATTACTGCTTTTTTATTCCGAGCCCATCACGACACCATGCATGAGCTCTGCACACGCAGGACAACTGTTAAGCAAAAGATAACCAGATGAGATCATAAAAACAAAAATCAGCCCAGCAAAGTAACTCCTCTCAAGGAATTATAACTGGGGTGACTAACACAGACAGGGTAATTATCATACTGGGCAATAAGTCTGGTCGGAAAGACCCAACCCACAGAGAGAACAGAAGAATAAAGAAATTCAGATGTTCATGTGCTGGTTACACCTTTGCCTTCAAGTCCTTACCAATCCAGTTGGGAAAATAAGACGTCCAAGTTCAGCCTAGGGCCGTGGTTCTCAAACTTCTAGATTTTAGGGCCCCTTTACACTTCTAAAAGTCAGTAGGCCCCCCCAAATTTCATTAATGCAGGTTACTCTTGTAGACATATTAACTACTTTAGAAATGAAAACTGAGTGTTAAGTTAATTTAATAATGTATATCTATATTGACTTGGTAGCTTTCATTAAGCACAAGATTAATTGTTTATAAATATATATAATTAACATATAACATATCACATATTCACTTATATTACATATTATAGATTTGTATGTATAATGTGTAGTATAGAATATCATATGTAATATTATAGAACATTATATTTTATGTATTATATATTGCATATATAAATGATGGAAGGTCAACTCATAAAACCTTCTGCATTCCCTAGCCAGTTGGAAACCCTGCCAGCCCCAGGCTAACCCAAAAGTTGTCAGGCTGCCTGCAGGTAGAGAACACAGCTGAGCTCATGGTGCAAAAGGGTGGGAAGATAGCTGTTTCAGAGCAAAAACATTGTTTTCAATCCCAATTCTTCCATGCAGCAACAAGGTGACTCTGCTAAGTCTCAGACTTTCCACTTCCATTTCCTCCTCTGGGCCAGGGACTAGCCCCCTCACCCCCCAGGAATATAGTGAGAATTAAATTAGATCACATGCATACAGTTCCTGAGACGGGGCTGAACACACAGTTGCCTCTGACTTGAGGTTTCTTTCCATGAGATCCATCCACCGTGGGATTCTGCTGTTTTGGAGTGACCCTGAGAATTGGTACTCTCCTTAATTTGGAAGAGGGTGATTAGAGACCATCAAACAAGCTTGTTCACTCTTTCCAGTTATGTGTGTTGCTCCTGGAAGCCTCTGAAAGGTAACATGACTGGGTGTTAACTCAAGGAAGATTTTGATGAGAAATTCTAACAGGAGATGAAGCCGGACCATCGGAGAAGGGAGATGAGTGTGGGTGTGTACACATGAATGTAATCATGTGTGTTTGTGTAGTAGGTGAGCATATAACCCAGAACCATCACTGTCACTCAGAATCTCCCCCCTCATTGCTGTTCCTGGAGCTCACTCCTTGCCTAAAACTCCCAGTCCTCACCTTCTGCATCTCAGGTGTGTGTGCACTTTCAATGGCAGCTATGGCTGTCAGGGAGAACTGTGTGTAGCCGATCTATAAGAGGGACCCAGGAATTCCATCACCCTGCATTTTTTACTACTAAACTCACCAAACCCGCTTAAGTTCAACAGAAATCCTTGTTGGGACCAAATTCTTATTACATCAACTTACCTACGGATTTGTAGCTATGCTTCAGTTAATACATAGACTTCTTATACTTTTCATGGTTAATAGTAGTGGCATTTATATTTCCTCTTTTCTAAAATAATTCAAGAAAAATACAGAGGTGGCATAGTATATTTGTCAAAATGACTGCCTCAGAGGCCAAAATGCCTGGGTTCAAGTTCAACTTTACCATTGGACAAGTTAATTAATTTCTCTATGTTTCACTCTTCTCATCTATAAATGTCAGTAATACCACCTGATTCATAGGTTGTTATATGAATTTACGAGTTAATATTTATGTAGCTCTTAGAACAGTACCGTATTATAAGAACAAAATTTTTATATACATATTAAATAAAAATAACTTTTAAAATCACACGTATGTTATTATAACCACAACACAGCAGAATCGTGCCCCGGTTGGTTTAAGACTGTCGATAATACTAATAAGGACAACAGGTAACTGAACATTCTGTATGGACCAGGAATTATATGCACTATTTTCGTTCTGTCTTCACCACCGTCCTATACATCCTTTACATCCATTATCATTTCATCAGTACGAAAACAGAGATTGAGAATTTAGATTTCTCCTGGGATAGCTGTACAGACCAGGTCCCCAACACTCGCGCACACACACACAAATACCGATTGAACTACAGTCGAAGATAAGGCTTGCTTTTTAATCTATAAAGCGCATAAATTAAAAATTAAAATACACCCCGACTATTACTTACTAGCATGTTTAGTGAGTTGTAGGTAAAAGGCCTTTTCGCACCCGCCAAATACATCCCATTTGGACCTCTCACCTTCCCGGCAGAAGCAAATTGTGCTGTTGGTCCTGGTTGACACTAGGTGGCGCTCCGAACCAACCAACGCTTATCTAGAGGCCGGTATACTCCGATTTCTCCAGGCTTTTCTATGAATAATTATTAACGTCTCATTATACACTTAACAGTTTTCTTTTCCCTTCTGGTGAACAGAAATTACTATCCCCATTTGGCAGATGGTGATCCGGGGGTCCCTGGGAAGCCCTAAGGCTGCAGGAAGTCCACAGGCAGGAAAGAGCGCGAGAGGAACAAATTGAGCGACTAGGACTCTTGTCTAAGTGATGCAGAGAAATCACGCCGGATTATCATTCATTTCACGAAGAACTCAGCAGCCCCTTAGAGAAGACCCGCACTGTGCTGGGTTCGGGGAATAAGAAAGTGAGGAGGACAGGCTCTCCCCCTGATGATGGAAAGGTTTGCAGGAGGGGAAACGTTCAGAGGACCGTCAGAGGGGCCTGAAGGAGGGGAACAGTCGGTTTTCTCTGGGGGAGGAGGTTAAGCCTCGAATCTTGTAAGGGCAACTTTTAAAATACTCAATTCCTTCTTTTCCTTCTGAAAGTGCAATGACCACACAGAGAAGGAGGAAAGTCTTGTGCAGAGATGAGCGCTGGAACGGGCTCCTCTACTGCTGAGTAGGGGAAAGAATTCTGAGATTCCTGCGTGAGTGTATCAGTTACGACCATGACGATAGTCCTAACAAGAGTAATAATAAATGTATTAAGCACTGTGTATTGAAAGGGAAAGTGCAGGTTTATCAAGTCCCACAAAAGAGGCCCCTGAGGTGCAGAACATTAATTCATTGATTTCAAAACACCCGATTGCTAACGAGTAACTTTAAAGAGTTTTAGATAAAGAATTGACTATAAAGGTTATGTACTTAACCTTTGAAGTGTCCAGGGCTAGTCGAGTGGTTGAAGGATAACAGTGTAATACACAGTTTGGTTTGGGCCTCAACCCTTTCCTGCCCAGAGGAATTTAGGAGGCAGGATGCTGTTTGCGCGACTGGACACTGGATGGCGCTCCACACTAAAACGACCCGCCGCGGGACTGCGGCCTCTCGGGGTGCCCGGACAGTCATTGATCGTTAGCCTTGGGTTGACATTGTACTACCCAGATTTCAAATCTCATTCATACACAGTCTACTGACGGACAGAAATGAATATTACAAGTGACGATGACACGACTGAGAAGCCGTGAGACTGGAGTAAGGGCCCAGAACAGTCGAGAAAGCGGGGAGGCCGGCTGCAAGGACCTTTGGGGTCAGTACTCCTCGTAAAAAGATACATTGTCTGGACAAGAAATCCGCGCGGCTCGATCCACTCACTCCCCCAAACAGTGACTAAGGAGGAGAAACGCAGATGACTAGGCTCGCACTGCCTACAGTTTAGAATAAAGAAGAAAACACGTGGGAAGAGAAATGGGCAAGAGTGCAGAACCGAGGCGCAGGGAAGGACAGGCCTGGAAATAGTCTCGGAGAAGCCATGACACCTGTGTCTTCAATGGGAGCAGCAAATTAAGCATAACAAGCCCAGAGACCTGGAGACACTGCACATGCTTTATCCTTAAAAAAAAAAAAAAAAAAAAAAAACTATTATTGGGGCACCTGGGTGACTCAGTGGGTTAAAGCCTCTGCCTTCAGCTCAGGTCATGATCTCAGGTTCTGGGATTGAGCCCCATATCAGGTTCTCTGCTCAGCGGAGAGTCTGCTTCTCCCTCTTCCTCATCCCTCCCCTCTGCTCTTGCTTTCTCCCTCTCTCAAAGAAATAAATGAAATCTTTAAAACAAATAATGCAGTGTAATAATGGTGGGATGAACTCTATTTGCTAGGAACCGTGTCTGAACCTCCTGTATATATGATCTCATTGCATTTTCAAAAATATCTCACCCTTTGTCAAGGAGTTTATAGTCAGATTGAAAAGATAGACCAAAGAGCAGGGCCCTGGAGTTCCGCTGCATCTGTAACCAGTAGGGGAAGAGGTGAAGGTGTAAAGGTCCACAGCTGGAATGACAATTCCATTTCTTAGTGCGAACGCTATCTAACTTCTGTCCAAAGACCTGGTTGCTTAGTCCCGGCCTTTTACTGTTCTGTTTACTGCTATTTCTCTTGTACTACTGTATGGCCTTAGTTGAGCCCGCCTGAACGTCAGTCTGTTCACTTGTTAAATGTGGGTAATAATTTCTGATCGCCAATCGATTCTTTACATGAATGACCTCCTACAGTTATTAACAGATATGGACACCAATGGAAGGTAATAATTACCCAGCAGATTAGGGATGAACAGTATGCAATACATTTTGGTTTAGAGTGCCATTGGAGCTAACGACAGACCATGGTGTAAAGGTCTAGTTCAGCTAGGAAGAGTTGGCGGTCAACGCAGTGACTAGTGCTGTTAATTGTTATCTTTCAGCTCCCTTGGCAGCCCTAGAAACTTTGAGGGAGGAAGTGTCCTTCATATTTAATATCTTCCTATGGAAACTGTCCATACATTTTTTTCATGACTGATGAGAAAAGCAGCCGAACCTAGACTTGTTCACTTCGGTATAACCCGAGTTTTTGTAAACTTCTCTATCGTGTATCATTTCGGATGAGCACTGGAGTGTGCTTTAAAGGCACGTGAATTATAATCAGTCTTCACGGCAAAGTTATATTGCAAGGCCCCTTCAACTCTCGAGGTCTCAATTTTCTCACTTGTAAAGAGTTGATAACAACAGCTATTTCATAAAATGGTATTTAGAATTAAATTTTGTAAAAAGCAAAAATTGATAAATGAAGCCCTCAGTACAGTGTCTGGTATATAATTAGGGCTAAGCCATGATGATGAGGAGGATATATTCTAAAATATGTATTATATACTATTATATATTCTAATACAATGTTATATAACAAATACTATATATTATATATTCTAAAATAATATTTTTACATAATACCGTAACAATAATACTGTCAATGACATGCTGACCTGAGGATGTCACTTCCTATCAGATGACAGGTCAATACCCTCTTACAGATTGCCTATAGCGTGGTTTTCTCACTGTAAAACAATCATAGTTTGTTTTTTTTTAAGATTTTATTTATTTATTTGACAGACAAAGATCACAAGTAGGCAGAAAGGCAGGCAGAGAAAGAGGAGGAAGCAGGCTCCCCGCTGAGCAGAGAGCCTGATATGGTGCTCAATCCCAGGACCTGAGATCATGACCTGAGCTGAAGGCAGAGGCTTTAACCCACTGAGCCCCTCAGGCGCCCCAACACTGCATTGTTTTTTTATTGAAAGGAACCAGCTTGCAGTTAACCATGCTGCTGGACACACGTCAGTCTCTGCTCCTTCTCCAAGCCCCACTCTTTTATGGTAAAGGATTTTTACAAAGAAGGCATAAACGCTCAGAGATGAAGGGAATGGGAGACAAAGCAATCCGATGAGAGAGTTCAACGGAATTTTGGAAGCTGGAGAGCAGATGGGTGAACGTCTTGCCAGACCAGAGAAAGCTGCACTCAGCACCAGCAAGGGGACAAAACCATTAAGAAACACATAAATTCCCCACCGCAGAAGCCTAAAAAGATGTAAGTCTCTGAGACTTACAGGTGTCTCTGAGGTCAGGGTTGTGAGCGGGACTGGAAATGGGTAGATCGGTTAGAGACCTGTGGAAGAGGCACCCTGATGCCCAGATTACCCCCCCCACACACACACTAACAGACAGGCCCGGCAGGAGACCGAGGGTTCTCCTTGGGTGATACTCACTCAGCGGGACTCTGGACTCAGATGTCTCAGTCGTAGCCAACTACGAGGGTGCAGCAGCAAACTGAAAATAGGGTTTGGAAAGAGAATCTGCATACTCAGATTCTCCCAGCTCCTTCCCGTTTTGTCTCCTAGAACACAAATACCCAAGCTTGTGTCTCCTATGATTTCTTACCTCAACCAATTTTTTGTTGAGTGTCTAAGGAGCGTGTAAAGCACTGAGCCGGGTACTGTAAATGGTTTAGCTTATAATAGTTTGTTGCGGGGCGCCTGTGTGGCTCAGTGGGTTAAAGCCTCTGCCTTGGGCTCGGGTCATGATCTCAGGGTCCTGGGATTGAGCCCCACATCCAGCTCTCTGCTCAGCAGGGAGCCCAGCTCCTCCTCTCTCTCTGCCTGCCTCTCTGCCTACTTGTGATAGCTGCCTGTCAAATAAATAAATAAAATCTTTTTAAAAAAATAGTTTGTTGCTATCACCAAGTACCACAGACTGGGGGCTCTTGTATTGTCCCACATTCTGGAGGCTAGATATCTAGAACAAGTGTGTAGAGAGGGTTGGTTCTTTCCGAGGGCTGAGAAAGAAAATCTGCGGCAGGTCTCCCTTCTGGGAGCTTCAGGCATTCCTAGACTTGTAGATGACCGTCTTCTTCCCTCTATGCATGGGTATCTTGGTCCAAATTTCCCTTTTATAAGGACACCAGTCATAATGGTTTAGGGCTCACTCTAATGACCTCATTTTAACCCGAGGACCTCCATGAAGACCCTATCTTTGCCAATTTCTGTTTTTAATTTAAGTATTTAGACCATCTACATTTAAGATGATTTTTGACATGTGAGGGTTTAAGTCTGTTATGTTGTTCTTTGTTTTCTGTGTTTTTCCTGTTTTTCTTTTCTGGTCTTTCTGTAAGTTATTTGAACAGTTTCTTTAAATTCCATCTCTTTTGGAAAATTTATTTATAATTTTTTTTAGTGCATTGCTTTGTACAATTTTGTCAGTGGTTACTCTTGGATCTTACAATGTATACGACTTTTCATAGTCTATTAGGATCAGGTGTTACGACCACAAGTTAATCGTGGACACATCATTTTTATCCTCTCTATTTAAAAATATTGTCTTGAATATCAAACTGTGTCTTGAATATCAAACTGATACAAAAATTTGATATTCAAATTTTTGTATCATCAGTCATTTGGCGACTCTCATGACAAAGGCAATCTAATGTTTGCCTATATGTTTACCCATATTTCTGGTCTTGCCACTGTAGTTCTTTCTTCTTGGTACCCTAAGATGCCTTCTCTTATTACTTCTTTTCTGTTTCAAGAAACTTCTCTACTCATTCTTTAAAGATAGGTCTGTTAGTAAAAAATTCTTTCAGCTTTGCCGCATCTGCGAATGTCTTTATCTCCCCTTCAGTCCTGAAGGTAGTTTTACCTAAAGGATATAGAATTTGCAGTTAACAATTATTTTCTTTCACTACCCCAGAAGCATGTGCCCTTTCCTTCTGGCCCCCGTTTCTTCAGAGGAACAATGCACTGTCCCCCAAGTTGTTGTCCCCACATAGCTTGTTTCTTTCTTGATGCTTTTATTTTAAGTTTTTTTTTTTAAGATTTTATTTATTTATTTGACAGACAGAGATCACAAGTAGCTAGAGAGGAAGGCGTGGGGGGGGGGGTAGCAGACTCCCTGCGGAGCAGAGAGCCCGATGTGGGGCCCAATCCCAGGACCCTGGGATCATGACCTGAGCTGAAGGCAGAGGCTTTACCCACTGAGCCACCCAGGCACCCCTCTTTCTCGATGCTTTCAAAATTTTTCAATCTGTCTTTAGTTTCTAGAATTTTAATTACAAAGTGATTGGCACTACTTTCTTTGGTTATATTTTACTTGGGGTTTATGCAATTTGTGTCTTTTCACCAAAGCTTGAAATTTTCAGGCACTATTTCTCCAAATACTCTGTCAGCCCTGCACTCTTTCTCTTGTCCTGGGAGCTGATGATATGAATGTTAGGTCATGTGTGTAGAGCTACTCCAAGTGGCAAAAGTAAACATATTCGTTAATAGACCCAAAGATACAGTCTCTCTAGGGCATATGAAAATAAAAAGCAAAAGCATGTGAACTTACAGAATGCTTAAGAGGTGTCTCAGTGTTTTATATACTTAGAAATGTATACAAGTGGGGGCGCCTGGGTGGCTCAGTCAGTTAAGCATCTGCCTTTGGCTCTGGTTATGATCCCAGGGTCCTGGGATCGAGTCCCCCATCAGGCTTCCCACTCAGTGGGGAGTCTGTTTCTCTCTGGTTCCCCTGTTTCTGCTCCCAATCTCT